TGAGCTACGGACTACTTTGTCTCCTCCAAACTGTTACCCCACTTTGACTTACTCAGCTTAAGTGCACTTCCTTCCCTAGGGTTCAAGGCTGCCTTACAAGTTTTGGGATTCAAACTTGACAGGTCTGATACTATCATGTGAATGTACTTCAGGTTACAGTAAGCATGAAACAATACCTGTTAGACTTAAGCTATTCTATATTTATTTTGCATTCTGTAGTAAAATAAGATATTTTACTTTTTTAACTTTTTGTTTGCAGTAAAATATTTTACTTTTACAGAGGGACTTCATCGGTAATTTAAATTAAAAAAAACCCCAAACACAACAAACCAGCAAAATAATTGTTCAGCAATAGCTTCCCTTGTGTGCTCTTCTCCGTCACAGATTGACCCCTTTAACTGGAGTTTAGGTTAACTCTTTTTCATGAACAGACTTTTAAACTTATAACGTGATCCCAACATAGGAAATAATGCTGAATAGCTGTTTGGGAGAAGATATTCCATGTTTTTTCCTCAAGCCCAACAGATGAGCAAGCAAGACTATCACCTAAAATGGGTATCTGAAGCCTGAAACTAACATGCTTATGGAACTGTATTCTAGAATACTATTCAAGCCACATCTCTCAAGTTTCTCCATTTCCTTTGCTTTTCTTTAAAGTCAGACACTCAATTCTCCTTGGAGCACAACAGCTTCAGAGGACCTTCTTTTAGGTGTAATTCCAATTGTGATGTGCCTACCAGAATTATGACAGATGCATAAATGCTGCACTTTGATAGCAATTATGTTTTGCAATAGGTCAACACTGTGAAATAATTGGTGAAAAAGTACATACAACTACTATTTGTCACAGAATAATCTAATAAAGGCATGTTTCTATGAACACTTGTGGTTTTTCTTTACTTACATTGAACAGTGACTTAAGAACAAACCTAATTTGTTTTAAGAATCAAAATCCCATCTTTCCAGCAAGTATTTTTGGTAACCAGGTTAAATATTGCAAACAAACCCTGAACCTTAGAAGAATATTTTGACCTCATTTCTGTTTAAATAAAGCAAGACTCTTTTATACTGTAATTGGAACAAAAAAAAACCAACAAAACAATAAAATTGTGTAACATTCTGCTCTTCTCCTTTTTAGGTGCAGCAAGGATGAAAGGTTTTTTAAATTTTCTTGTTTGTTTTTTTTTAAATGATACACATATTACATGTCTCCATAATTCCCATTACCTGAATTGGTCCTCTATACTGAGATTTTTTACATAATATTAGTAAGGTAATGAAAACATATTTGTCCTTCAGACCTTTACAACCAATGCTATATATACCTTTGTAGTGTGCCAGTCTCTGTACGTCTCCTCTTGTTTCTTGATTTCTTCTTTACTCTGATCTTTTTATTCCCTCCAATCTCCTAACCTGCAGAAATGCTTAATGGATCATCTATTTCATCTTTACCCATCATTTTCTTCTTTCATGCATCCTACTTAAATCCTCAGCTAGTCTTGAAGGCTCATTCTGTAAACATTCACATATTCCATTGGAGCACTCCTTTAAGTTACACTGGCACATAAACATTTGCAGAATGATATTTTACTCCTTTCCTCTGCTTAGCTCATCTCATTTCTGTGTCCAACAATCTAGTGATGAAGACTACTCAGAACATATCTGAAAAGCTATTTGATTTCCCCAAGGCTTGAACACTTATTCAATCAAGTCATTTTCTGATTGTAGTGCCTTTGAACTGGCAAAATTTACAACCTCTCCTCAACAAGATCAGCATCTTAGCTGATTTTAGGTCTAAGCCTGTGATAAACTGCAATTCTGTACAATTTCCCTGAAGCCCTGCAAAGTCCTCTAACATCAGAGGTTTTGAAAATGTTGTTAAGACTAGTTTTACCTTTATTTTGCAATGTATATTCTATGGTAATATCTGAATACTCACATATCTACTTTAATAATAGATCAGTTGAAGAGATTATTAGACACGTTGATAATTAATCTTAAGATAAATATAATTGTCTTGAAAGAGAAGATATTAAATCTCTAACTATGATATTAAATCTCTAACTGAATTAATATCTTAATGTATTAATAGATTCTGTTTGGTATTCACTTGATAAATTATATTTAATCAGTAGTATTATATTTATGAGAGGTTTTTTTTTCTGTCTAAACTTTTTGCACGGACTTAGATACTCTTTCATGATGACATTTTCTAACATTCTCTGATACTTTTGAGGTCCACTCATGTCCTCCACTTAACACACACCCCAGTTGTGACTCCTAAAACTCTGATAGTTACACTGCTCTGTAACAGTGTGTGGATACTGGGTACTAACAGGATTACTGCATGGCATTTTGCTTTGGTCACTACCTTAGCTTAATATCTGGCTGTAAGTAAAACCAAGACATGGCAAACAGCGTATCAGTACCTGTACTACCTCCTGAACGATTTTGAAGTGGAAATCTTTAATCCTGAATAATGTAACTTTCAAAATGCAATCACTCCCTGTAGCACTTCATAGTCCACAACAGTTTAATTCCATGGGAACAAGGATAAACTTTGCCTTTCTGCCAGGGGCAAAACACCTGCTCAAATTACACAAGTCAGAACAGTGGGGCTAGCAGTTCACTCAGAATATCTGTCTTCTGCATTCTAGGAAACTCTTACTTTTGTTGTTGTTTTCTTGTGATAAACTTTCCAACAATAAAGTACAGACTTTATTTTCATTTTCATTCTTTTTAGTTGCACTTACATTTCTGTGACAACTCAATAAAATTCAAGTCTGTATTTTTATGGTATACTAAGTGAATATATAAGTAAAAATAAAATGTTACAGAACCTGTTTATCAACTTGTACATTTAAACATGAACATTTTAATTTGCTTTATTTTGCCATTAGTAAAAGTATTTGTGTTCTCAGCTGTTCCAATACAATTCGCCTCCATTGCTTCCAAAGATGACCACAGTTTAAATTCTGTATATTTATATTAAATGTGTTTTGGTTAATGGAACAACTTGAGTTTTCAATTAATAAGGTGTAGAATAAGCCATATTTGCATAATTTTTCAATTATTTGCAACGGAACTTCCTACATTGGGAACCACTGCAGAAATATTATCAGATCTGATTATTCTAGGACTCTGTTTATGGTTCATTTTAAATGCTGGGGACATCTCAGAGTTGTGTATGTCAGCGCACAAACTCAAATTTGGTTGCATGCAGGGCTGGATACATTTCCTGTAATTCTCCAGCTTTATGTCAGAATGATATTCTTCCCAAAGTTCTCAAAAGGCATCGATCAACATGAACAGCTCCCATCAAAGGGTAGGAGTGTAAGGATGATGGAAAATCTAAAGGGGGGGAGGGGGAAACCATCCCTGAGTTGATATGAAAGACAAAGGAATTAAGCAAACAGAGAACAAGTGAAAGCCAGCCCAACCTGCATTACCAGTTCACCTCCCACTCTGTGTCCACGAGTGCCAATGATGACAGACTGGCCAGGGCTGTCTCCCCTCACTTGCTGATCTAACTTGTGCTACAGACCCCTGTTGCCCCTCAGCAATGCCATGTGGTCACTGAAAAGAGAGGGAGCTGAAAGGAGCCAAGGAGTTCAAAGCTGAGAAGTTCTTCCTGCTGGCAGCATAAGGCAAAACTCACAGCAACCATTCTGGGAAAGACAGGATGCAGAATCATATACAGAACAAAGAGCGAGATGACAAATCTGTAAAGGCTGCTGAAAAACAGCGTTAAAAACACTTAAATTCCAGGAAAAGGAGGTATTGGTGCAGTTTTTTATTCAAGGGACAGGTGCTTGTACATCTCCTTTAAAAACATAAACACAACTTTTACAAAGCTTTCTGTGCGGAAAAGACAGGTTGTGGTTGGTTTTATGAACCTTCTCCTACTGACAGTCCCAGGTTTTCACAGAATGGCCCATGAACCCACAGACTAATTAGAGATCAGGGATGGATGGAATAAGCCTCTTTAGGAGAGAGAGAATCTTCTGAATCATTTCTCGCAAACCAATGAAAGAACAAAGTTTATTTGAAGCACGTGGGAAAAGGTGGACTGGAAGTCACAAACTGCAAAAGGCTTCTCCCACTGTTCTCTTGATTTAAGCTGTAGAGGTTTAAAGCTGCTGTTGTCCCGATTCCTAAAGATTCTTACGAAAAAACTGAGGACATCACAGGGCATTTTTTTCACAGGGAGAAGGGAAGGGGACGTGAGGGGGAAAGGGACAGTTCAATTTGCATCGTTTGCGCAGGCAAACTTCCCTTTAACCTTTGCCAAACCTCGTACTTGCTTGTTCTTGGCGTTCAAGCTGTGAGTGGAAGTTTTTAAACTAAAAGAAGCCCTCAGAAACCATCTCTTAAGATTAGTGACCTGACGGCACCTCTGGGAACAGCGAAACACGCCCGGGAGGAGCGGGGGGGGACGGACCGAGGCACAGCCGGAGAATCGGCGCTGGCAGCGGGTCGGGAAGGACACACAGTGGCCAGAGCGCCTGGAAGTCAGTCCTACAGCGAGCCTCGTGGAACGATCCTCCCGTGCCCTGACGTCTGTGTTAAATTTATGGAAGAACGTCAGCGCTCGAAGGGAATCCTACTGCTCCCTCGTCACTGAAGCGCTTACACAACTCGCTTTAATCTCGCCACCGCAAATCGCTTTTGTTCTCCTGCACGACACCGTTTTCAGAAGGAGACAGATGACACAAGCACGGCAAGAAGCGGTGGAAGAGCTGCGCCCTCAGACCCCGCCCGCCCACTCGGCCCCGCCCTCAGCCCTCCAAACCCCGCCTCTCAGCCATTCAAGCCCCGCCCTCAGCCATCCAAGCCCCGCCCTCAGCCCCTCAAGCCCCGCGCCCTGCCCGGGAGACCCCCCCCGGTCCCGCCCCGCCCCTCACTGCGCACGCTCCTCGCCCTGAAGATCCCCCCGCCGGACCGTGACGTCACTCCGCCACCTGCCCTCGGCTCGACGCGCCACCCGGAAGCGTCCCCCCCGAGCCCCGGAGCCGGCCGCAGAAAGGTTCCGGGCGGTTTTGGTTCCGGGGGCCGCCCGCCTGAGGCGCGGCCGCGGCGATGATCCCGATCCCGGTGGTCGTGTGCGTGCTGGGCGGCTGGTGCGCCGTGTACCTGGCGGACACGCTGCTCAAGGTGAGGGCTGGGGGCGCAGGGCCGGGAGGGCGCAGAGGCAGGCCCGTGCCCCGGCCCGCCTGCCCCCCTTCCCACAGCCCGGGCGGCCCGCGGGCCTCGCTGCCCCGCCGGGCCCGCCGCGCTCTCCCGCGATGCTGAGGGCTCCCTGCCCCCCGGAGGAGCCTCCTCGCCCCAAGGCCGGGCCCAGGGAGGCCGGGCTTTGCTCCCGCCCAGCGCTCGGTTGAAAACGCCTCCCCGGCGGCCGCGGAGGGTTCGGTCCGCGTTAAAGGACCCGGCTTTTAATTTACTGCTTAAACGGTTCTGTGGCCATTTCAGTGTGCTCTCTGGAGTTCAAAGTAGTAGTAGTAATGCGACCTTAATTTAGACGTTTGCTTTGCAGAGTACCTGTTTTATGTGTGTAGAGGATGTGTTTTATGATGATGATTTATCTAAGAAATGAAAAAATTAATACATAATTTTGTCTTTTGAATGTCCTTAGTTTTATTGAAAAAAAATAAGTTGTGACAGAGCTCGATACAAGTAACTTTAAAATAAATAAACTTTAATCTTCAGAGAGTATTACAACACTCATCCTTTTCCTCCAGAGGGAGGGGGGAAAGGCTCGAAAAAGAAACTACACTGACAAGACAGTATTCATTTTATCTAGGACGTGTTTGTGCATTGCACAAGTTTCATAAAGTGTTGTGGGGTGTTTTTTTTAAAGCTCCACAGGTATGACTTCTAAGACATGATTGAAATAGCAGAGTAGGCTGTATGCTGGTTAAATATGAGGGAAAAATGAAAAGAAAGGTTTGATCTGTAATTCTCATTCTGAATGTTACAGTCCAGGAGCCGCATCTGTTTCTTCCAAGGTAGAAAGAGCCTAGTGATATCAAAGTACAAAATATTCATGTTGTCACTCCTGTAAAATATAGGAAGAAATACAAGAAATTTTAGGTGCTGAGAAAACTTTGAAAAGCAAGTGGCTCCCCCTGCAGCAAATTGGAAAGAGAGTGTAGCTCAGTAAATGATGAGAGCCGTTAAATTGCAAAATATCAGTGTGCACATAATGACAATAACAAATACAGTCATTTACCTGAAGATTTTTCAAATTTTATTACAGAAATTCTATATTAGGTATTTGAAAAAACATGTGGCATTGGGCAGGTGCCAGAAGAACATGCTCCAAGACACAGCAGGAAGGTCAGCCAGGAGGCTGCTTTTGTTTGGCAGCAACTTTGTGTCTGGTGAAAAATTTAGGGTATGAAGCAAGAACCGAGCTCAGGTAGGACTTGTTGTGCTGAGATGCTGAGACCATTTGCATCTCAGAGTTCTGAAAATCTCTTTCTGCATTAGACCTTAAAATCGTTCTCTTGTTACAGCCTCTGGTAGAGGGAGGAAAGAAAAACTCACTTGGGGCCAAATTAGTGCCTGATTTATATTGCAAAAAAAAGGGAGAATGGCTGGAATTCTGTAGTCAGCATGAGAGTCCAGGGGATAAATTTTAACTTTGATCTTTTAACTAAAAGTTGACAAAGGTTATTAAAAGTCAGGAAGTGTGGGGGAGCTGTTGGGTTTTAGTGAACTTGCTGGTAGATCACATATGTGGGCATCTCAGTGATGAGCTTCACCGTGAGCACCACAGTCAAAATAGAATTTGGGTTAAATAACCAGATTAATATAATTAGGAAGGTCAGAGTTGCTTGTTTTACTGTTGGTACTGTAAATCTGCCACGTTCACAACCTCACAGGGCTGCTAGCAACTGTAGCAAAAGCTGCTTAAACCTCAAATCACTTACAATTTAATTACAGCAAAAGGACGTACAGAGCATGAGTGAAAAATAATACAGGAGCACTTTACCGTGCATGATAGCCTGTTGATAATTTTGGTGAGAGAAGGGTGTGTTCTGTAACTTGCAGTTAATGTTTATTCTGTGAACTTGTTCCATGTGCAATGCCTCTTCCTCAGTTTGTTCCCTTATTGGTTTTGTTCAGATTTCAATCATTTTATTGGGCAGTGTGCCTTTTAGAAAGACTACAGTATAGGAGGTAGAAACGTATTTTTGCACAAATAATTTCACATTATCATACTGCCAACGTTACATTACAAAATACATTTGTGTTAACATACCAAAGCTATGCTAAAGCAAACTGGGATTTGGAGTGATAAGTCCCTTTTGTTGCTCCCTATTGGAGCACTGTCATCAAAGTTTTCACTGAAGCTTGGATCCTACAAAAGGGAATAAGACAGATCCCTAATTTCCTTCTCCTCAACATCCTAAATTATCTTATTTTGTTCTTCCTAAAGGATTAGGAATGAGTGAAGGGTAGAAGGTTGTCCCTCCTTCTGCTATGAGGAATAAAGGATGCATTAGACTCATTCAGCCAAGGTTAGCTCTCAGCTTTTAAGGTCAGGAAGCTGAAATGATTCAGAGCTCATGAACAGATTTTGTCAGCAGAGAAGAATGTTAAGGACTCCTGCTTGCTGGCAGATATTTATGGAGCTCCTGGAGTATTTAGCAAACGCTCATTATTTTGAAGGCTTGCATAAATAAAAAAGGTATTGCTTTTATAGTAAAATTAGTATAACAAAGATCACTTAGATCTTGACTTGGAGAAGCAGAGCCAAGGCCTGTGTGAAGGGAGTTTGCATCAACACACCAGGGCATGAGGGTGCGTGTGGAATGTGGGGGTCCTACTGGGATCAGCACAAAGGGAGCAAAAGTTTGCATAGAGCTTTTTAATGTATTTTGCAAGGGATGCAGTGATCACATTTAGTGATCATAAGTACTGTTTACACAATTTGTGATGAAAATGCAAAACAAAAATGTTTTGGCACCTTTTTTTTTTCCCCATTTGGCAAATGCATGATCAGTGACTCCGTATTTCTCATGGAAAACATGCTTATTTATGTCTTGCTACTACAGTGGGGCTGTGATGTTGTTGGAATGAATTCAAAGGGAAGGATTTGTGGCATTTCTAGGGAAAAAAGTGGGTTTTGCACGTGATGAACACATTTGCAAGTGCCAAATTAACGTATCTGAGTATCTTTATTATAATAAGCTGTTAGGTTGTTTTGGGTGGTTTTTGGACTCTGTGTGAATGAATAGGATGTGTTTTCTTAATTCCCAAAAGACAGTTTCTCATATCAGAGATACTTAATGACATGTATTTCTGTTTTAATTATCTGGTGGATTATGTGAAGAGGTCTTTTTCTTTGTTTCCTTGGCTTAGGTAGTACAAATTTAATCATTTTTGCGATCTCTTCTGTTAAAGTTTAAAAAGCTGGGTTAGCAAATGCTGATCTGCTTGTGGACACTAAATGTAATGGTGTCATAGGGAGTGAGCAATGCTGATTAGGGAAAGCATTACAATTAAAATTTCTTTTGGTGCCCTCACCTGACTGAACAAAAATGTGCCTGAAATCAATAGTGTCAAGCAGAAGGAAATAACACAGAAATATATAGGTAGAAAAGGATAAACGGTGTAGTAGGTGATACGCGAACAATGACCTGGATAAACGGATTTCACATCCTAGGAAATTTGTTGCTTGAAATAACTTTTTTGTGTTCAAGTTTTAATTAATTTGACAGAGTGAGAAAAGCTGTTAACATAGTTGTGCAAAATAAGATCCTCACCCCCCACGACCACTGTGGCAGGGCAGGAGGAAAGCAAGGAATGTGGCAAGTTCTAAATTTGTTTAAAGAACCACAGACAACAGCCCAAAACTTGTGAAGTTCCTCCTGGGGGAGGAGAAGGGAGCCTGTTGTGAACTACACATTCCAGATGTCTTCAGTAGGTGCTGCTGCTTGTAGAGAACCTTGGGAACAATATTCCAGTTCAGACAGCTCCAAGGATTGTCTGGATTATGTCAGAGACACTCCTGCCTTGGGAACTGCCCAAAGTCAGAAGGCTCAAGCCTCTTGTGTACTTTTCCTGAGCTATGAGTTCCTCTTTCACCTCCAAGGAAAGCATTCCTTCAGCTGGACTTCTGATAGTAGCTTCCATGAAGCAGGTGACTAAAGCCTGTTGAGAATGCAAGTGTCATATAGTATGAAGTAGCAATTGCAAAAAAAAAAAACGTCTATTGGTCTATAAGAGCAGCTAATACTGCAGGTAAGTATTAATCAGTATAGTTTAGATGTCACATTTCTCATCAAGAGACATATTTGGAACTACTAGAAGTATATTGAAATGCTGGGAAGTTACCATAGTGAATCACCATTGCAATACCAGTTGATAATTTTGGGTTTTTTTGTTAGCATGATCAAATATTTCAGTCTTTGTGTTTGAAAAGTAGACATCATTTTTACCCTTACTATTGGGTATCTGCAATACTGAGCCATATTGCACCAGTATTAGAAAGTTTTTTCAGCTGAAGATGAAATAAGTGGTTTTCCTTATTGTAGTGTTTAAAATATTTGTTGGAATATAATTGCTCATTAAAAGAATATCATCAACAGTCTTTAGTCTTCTAACTGGACAGTAGAATTAAAAGTGCTTTAACACTAGGAAAAATGTCATAAGATCTTGTTTGTCAAACACCACTGGATCACTTTCACAAACCTAGAACTGTTACAAATGACATCAAAACAGCGGCAAAACTTTTTCATGTTACGTGTCATACCTACCTATAGGTCAAAATATAAAGAATGTGTAGGACATTTACCTGAAGTGATGCATCTGTTTTTATATAAACAGGTCACATTTACTGCTTGGTCACATTACAGAATCTTCCTGGAATTTTTTGATCCAACTGATTTTCCATTGTTTTGCAGTCATCCAGCTCTCTGAAGGCATCATATGAAGACTGGCTGCTGACATATGGCCTGAGCATCTCTCCCTTTCACATGCGATGGCAAACAGCTCTGTTCAACCGCCAGTTCTACAATTGGGGGAGATGGAAACCCAAATTTCTGTATTTATGGTATAAATTCAGGATTTTTTTTATTTCTGTCAAAATACTGAACCATATCTGTGCCTTTCAGCCTTAAAAGTGCAATAGGTAGACATTATTTCAGTAGGCTAATGATAAAACCAGATTAGAGTGGCTGCTATAATTGTACTGTGCCAGTTTAGGTCTTTCTCCTCTACTGAAACAATACATAATTTTAATACAGGTTGCATTTTGAGATGCTATAAAATTGGAAGTCTCTAAACCTGTGGTACATAGTTCCTAAGGGTACAGCCATTGTGTGTACTACTGCATACAGAAGTAGGTCTGAAAGCAGCTTCTCATATCCTAGATCTGTCTCTCACTTCCATCACTGTACACTGAGCTCTCCCCAATCTTTAGAGTTTACAAAGTACTCAGCTGTGTCCCTGACATTCAGCAACGATACCTGCTCAAAGCACGTTGCTCACCTTCTATCTGCCTTCACACCTTTCCCTGCTGAGGTTTCAAAGTGCTGGGAATGGGTAGATGAGTAAGGTGGTTTAGTATGGGTGCTCCTGAACTGGTTTAGGAAACTAGTTGCTCAGTTACCTTCCTAGCATTACCTTGTATCTGGCTCTGAAAATATAAAATAAGTAAGGTTTGAATTTCTTTTCATTTCCCTTATTGCTACCCTCAGTGAAATAGTAATAAAAGAGAGCTCTGCTTCATATTGGTTTCTCGGGTATGTAATGATTTTGTAATAATCAGTCTTAAATAGTTCTATATCAATTACAATTTGTAATGCATATAACTTATTACAGTGCAATGTTTTCCCTAGTCACTTTAATTAACATTACAAGTACATGTTGCTTAAAATAAATCTACTAATTCCCAGTGAGCTTCATTAAGGATGGTAAGAGAACAGCTATGCTATTGTGAGAAGAAGGAGGACTGCTGGAGAAGTGTTTTAGTTAGAAAATAAATGTTATCACATCCTTCAGCTATGGGACAGTGTAAAATAATAATGCTGAATAAAAATTTGCCACTAGATCGAGTGACATGAATTGAAATTATTTTCAACACGGATTTTAATGGAAACTAAATTGATGAGAAAAACAATGTTGTTTAAATAGTTGATGTTAATCTGATCTTGCAGTTGTACCTTTTAGTTGTTCTTTAAAAAAGATTGAGTCCCATTTATTGTTCTTCAGCACTTTTTATTGTTTCTAAAAAGATGCAAAATGTATTGAAAAAGCTTATCATTTCATAAGCTACCCCACCATTTGATCCAGGTCTCTATATATGTGATGGTGTGGTGCAACTTGATCAATTATAAATTGTTAGTTATGTTTATATAGTCACAGCTAAAGGCAAGTTACATGTATTGGGTAGCTGAATGAAATTTAGAATGTGTGAGAGCAGAATAAAAATATTTGAAAATTGATCAACATTTATTAACCATGGAAAGTATGTTATTAGTGTATATTATTATTGTTGTTTCCTTTAGCTAATATTTTTGTACTGGATTGTTGATACTTGAATGGTAGTAGCAGTGTTGCCCTGTGTTTTGTGTGCTAAGTTGTGCTGTAAAGCAGTTACAAACACCCCATCTTCTTGTGGCTGTGGATTGCTAAACTATTTGCTTGTCTTTGTAGGTTCAGCGTAGGAATGGTGTTTGGAATAGTTGCCATGTTTGGCTCTGTTATTCTCCTTGGAAAGACTCTGATGCAAACACTGACACAGATGCTCACGGAGGCACCGAGAGCCCAGAACGATCGGATGCTGCAGGTCGTGGTAAGTGTGCTCTCCTCAGGTCTTTATGTGAGAGCTGTGATATGAAGCAGCTTCTTAATGGGGTGTGTGATGCTTAAATATTCCCAGGCAAGAATAACCAAACTCCTGATGTTCATCTACGTGAAAATGTCCTGGTTTGTTATCGGCCTTAAAAACGGGGAGAGGGTATAGTAACAGAGGGCAAATGAAAGCAAACGGGGAAGAGTTTATATTAAAAATTCTCAGGAGTGGGAATTGGCTAGTCATTTTGAAAAACACTAAATTATAGTACTAAGAATATAAACCAGAGCTAAGAATTTGCCTCCTGTGAGCTGTGCAGTGTAGAGTTCACAAGAACAGACGTCTGTTTCATTTATTACAATACAAAACATCAGTGGAGAAGGAAAGAAGTGTAAAGAGCCTTGCATGGTAGTAGAAGCAAAGATTCATTAGTGAGGAGGTGGCATTTTCTTTTGATTGTTCAAGGACTTATAACCTAATTTACAATCTGAAATTTAAAGTGCTGTTTCTGGTGGTATCTAGTTGAAGGCCTAATAACAATGTATTAAATTCTTTTATGAATTTCTGATGCTGGACAATGTATTGTATGCTTTTAGAACAGAATGTATTTCACAGAACAGGAGAGATTGTAAATCCCGTCTTTCTTACGCAAGGCAGTAATGGAAGAACTGGCGTTGCCTTACAACAGTTTTAATCTGGAAGGGTTCCTACCCACCTTTTGTACCCCAAGAGTGCTCTCTGACCAAAATGTGTGGTCATTTTCCAGAACGGTGGAAAGTCCTGTGAGATTTCTCTGCCTGCTGCTAATGGCTTAGAGCAGGGGTGCCCAGCCATTTTACTCTAAGTACTCACCTTTTCTAGTGAACAGAAGTTGTGTCACCATAATAGACCTTCCTGTAAATGTTAAACCAACTGCATGGAGCTAGACTTAAAAAATTACAGGAGTGCAGGAAGCCTGATTATTAGTGGCATGTGCCATAAACCTGGTGCCTTTGAATGGCTGGGTGTGTTTCACGTGGGCAGGTGAATATTGCAAATGCAGAATGTGTTGGCAAAAACAGGCAGTGAGATCTGAGAGAGAACTGCTGGCACTGCCACTGCCATCACCCAGTCCACAGCCTGCTCCTGAATTATTTCCAGAAACAGACAGGAAGGGGCAGTGTGTGCATCCCATAGAGCACAAGTGGAACTTGAGACAGAAAATTTTTAATTTACATGCCAGCAGGGTCTCTCCTAACCACGTATGTTTATTACATTCTGGAGTTAGAAAAGCCTCCCTTGCATCTTAATTTTCTGAGGTCATCGTATGAATCTATCGACTTCTGTGACACCAGGGTAAAGTGGTCTTTGTCAATATATTGCTCTTTGGAGAAAATAATGAAGGGGGAACCAAAGTAAAGATGAACCTTTGGAATTAATCTGGTGTGAATTGGAACAATGAAAGAGAAAAGTAGGACAATGATTGCAGTTCAATGTGGAATTGATTCCTCAGTGACTGCCTGTGGCAATATCACTGTAGTCAAACCGAGCATTGACTGGCACTGAACAATTTACTATATAGGGATAATGTAATGCCATGTATGGAGATATGGTTACTTCTCCTAACTTGACTCTTCCTTTCCTACCTCATTCTTTCATTCCTGAATGGTCACAGCGGTATAATTCTGCCTTTAATGAGTTTTCAATATTCTTTTTAAGGGGAATGAGCTAGCATAAATTGACACAAAACAGTGACCTATGTATGGTTGTAAAGAGGTGAAGAACAACTCAGGATGACCTTCTCAGTTAAATTATTTACTTGTATTTAACTGCCTGGAGATCATGAGTTAGTTAAAAAAAAGGCAACAAACCACCCCACTTTTTCTTATTAACTAAACTTTAACCTATGGCATAAATCTGTTTAACCCTTAGCCTTTGGCTATGGAGAGAGGGAGAAACAATTCTGCTTATGTTTTATTGAGATTTTTATACCCTTCCTCTGTTGTTCAGTCGTGTACCTTGTTTAAAATAATTATCTATAGGTAACTGGGCTGTTTTTCTTCAGCTGCCCCCTGTGTTGGCTGCCTGTTGACAAAAATAGGAAAGAGGCAGATCAGTTACTAGCAAAGTATCTTCTTTTACTAAAGGCATTTCCAGAAGATCATAAAATATAAGATGACATGCTTTTTAACAAAATACTGCTGTTGCTTTCAGAACCATTCATGAGAGGTAGCTTCTCTTTAGGTGAATCTGAAAATAGCTTCTTTGATGGGAAATCTAAAAGCAGGGTGTTGTGTTCTAGCAGGCCACAGTCATGGTGGTATTGAGATGGCAACTCTTGCTATGACCATCTGTCCTCCCATTGCAGAGGGCAATGGAACACTTGGAAATGCTTTAGTGCCAGCAGCTGATGCTGCAATTCAACCAAGGAATGCTCAAAGAATGGAGAGCAGGTGTCTTCATCCAGTGAGGTACCATAGTTGTGCCAGTTAAGATAAATACCTTAGTCGTGATCACACTCTGGACAGAATATTAATGGAAACAGTCTTTTGAAGGATTTATTTTAGCTATTTCAGCCTATTGCAGAGTTCTGCTGCGTGGGTAGGTGAATGCATGTAAGTGTGGAATGTGCAGAATTGAACAGAGGTAGAATCAAACCTGCTCTGGATCTGCAGTTGAATCTGCAGCCTTTTGGTTTCCATAGGGATGTTTTTTATAGGGTCCTATAAACAGGCCAGGAGTTTTTGACTATAGCATCTCTTTTGCGAGACTGGATTGCAATTCAAGCTGTGTTCACATCAGCTGTTAGTGACTGCAGGGGACTGCACCCTGCCTCCAGTGGAAAAACCTGTGGAGCAGACAAGGGAACTGCCCCAGAGCAAGCAGCAGAAGTGGCCTTATTGTCCCACTGCAGCACGGCCCTGAGGGGAGGTGGAACTGGGCAGGATGAAGGTCTGTCAGGAGGACAGAGGGGATGGTTCCTAAGTCTTTGAGAAGTGACCACTCTGGAGCCTGTCTGGAAGCAGCTGGTGTCTCACATAACTAGAGCAGGGAGGGACCTGGTGAGTGGTGGGAATCCACCAACAGGAGGAATATGAGGGGCCTGCATATTATGTCTTAGGTAAATTAAAATAGTATGCTTGTTTCAAGTGGGGTTTTTTGAGGTTAAATTGCCATATGTAGACAACCAAAACTACATAGATGAAAACAAGAGGTGAAAATTACCTTTTCTCTGAGTCTATAAATTTGGGATAATCTTGTAATTTCTATGGGAGGAGAGAAGGGAGACTGTTCAGTCTCGTTTGAACTTTTAAAGTGTTTTAAGTGCAATACAGTTTTTATTATTTTCTTTTGAAGGGTGAATCTTCTCTACAGCTACATGACTGGCTGCAGGAAATTGTAAACTAATGCTCAGAATTGCCAAGCCTGTTTCATTTGAGTGGAAGTCTGTGTACATTTTTATGAACTTCTCAAGTTTAATATAGAGTAGGACACATTTGGTCAGGGCTGTGGGGAATAAATAGGGCAGGGTTTTGTGCCTAGGGAGCTATTTAGCATTGAACAGCAGGATATATATTTCATATATATATATATATAAATACATTGGATAAGTTGGGAAAAGAGGTACAAACTGATAGTGCTGCATGAGAACAGCCCCTGTCCTGTGGTGGAACTGAGGAAGTTGAGTGACAGCAGGAATTTTAGGGGTAGGAGGATTCATCTTTGTACCTCTTGTTTTCCTCCTGTGTTTTGTTTTGTTGTCATGCCCACATCAACAGGTGCCTGGTGTCAATTTGCCTGTTAGCCAGCTGACCTATTTCTTCTCTGCAATCCTCATCAGCGGTGTGATACATGAAGTCGGCCATGGGGTGGCAGCTATTCGGTAAACGCAAATTGCTTTTCTCCTACTCTCTGCCAACACAGCCTCATATTCCAGAGCAGTTACCCGTGAATGTTGTTAGCACTGTTTTGGTTTATCTGGAGAGACTGTTTAGTCTGTATTTCATAGCTTCCTTACATTTTAACTTTGGAAGGATGTACAATTAAGGATAGAGTTTTAATGCAGTGTCTAGTCTACAGATAATGAAAAAGGACTTCTGCTTTGCAAATATACAACACTGCATCAGATTTAAAATAATACTTCTTTTAAGTGGCCCTGATTTTCACAGAGCAATTTCGTTTCTGCACCTGTGGCAGTTGAAGAGGACCCATGTGTTGTTACACAATGATACTTTAAAATAGATTTTAAATTGGTTTGTTTAAACATAGCTTGTGAAGTAGCACATGAACGAATTGAAGCAATAACTCAGTTAAATGTGATTTGCCCCGTTAACACCAGGAATGTATTAATTTGATCAAAAATTGTATGTTTAATGTCCTTAACTATGATGATTACTTCACAAAACTTATTTGACAAGTTTAGTCATTCCTGTTACATGCCACTCCAGCATAAGAAGGTTGAGTGGTGATTACTGGGACTTGTTTTTCCTGGACAGCATCATTATCTAACCTATGAGCATGAAGCCCTAAGTTGTTTCTCTGGTTTTCTTGAGCAAAGGGAGCCACAGCTTCATTTTACTGCATTACTGTCTTTTTTTATAAGCCCCAAAGTTCTCAGTTAAAGGGGTGGTTTGGGACCCTCTGTGTTTCGTATGCTCCGTTTGTCTCCCAGCTGTTTCCAGGAGAGAAATTATTTTGTCCAATGTATACACTGGCACCCAATGTTGCTGCTGCTGTTTTCTGCTTGACTTTATTTCCTTCTTAGACCAGTTGGGCCTATAGTGCTGTTATTGTAAATCCTCAGGGTATAGGCTTTACTAAATAGCTGTGCTGTGGGCAAATTTTATTATTCTGGCAAGTCACTTAGCCTTCCTGAAATCTAATAAACTTCTGCCAACTTCAGTGCAAGGTAACATTAGCAGTGAACTACAAATATTTGAGCCTTAGCTTAGTCAAGGCTTTTACTGAAAAAAATTGTCTTCTTCACTCTGTACCTTTTCCCCAAGTCATGAAATCATGTAGAGGTGTTAGAGTGGCTGTTACTAATTGGCAGCAGGGGTGAGTCTGGTGAGTTAACTCCACAGAATTAGTGTATGACTTCATTCTGAAAATTTTTTGTAATTCTATGTCTTCATTTTTTACATATACACAGTAAAAAACCGAATGTGAATAAATAAAATGTTATACCCAGTATACTGTCTCAGTAAAGATATGATATTAGCTGATCTCTGCTTGGTTTGTCATGTTACATGATTGTTTCATGCCTAACGAAATTTCTAGTGTCAGAAAAACTTAATGTATTTGTTCCAAAACATTCCACTAAAAAGCAATTGTAAAACCTCTGAAAAAAAAATATTATCTGTATGATAGTGTCAGCTACTAATATATTTAAATAGAAGCATAGGATCATAGAATATTAAGTGTTGGAAGTGCATTAGCATTTGTCCTTTTAACCTCTTGACTTGTTTTAATTTTTTCAGATGACATTTCTCTCATTTTTGTTAGTTTACAATTTACTGTAAAGTTTGTTTAAAAGAAACAAAGAAATTGTAAATTTCATAAATCTATAAATGTTTCTTTAAAAGGGAAGCAATTGCTTCTTGTAGATAATTTTTCATAGATTACTTTGAAACTGCTTCCTGCAGGCTGCCTTTTTTTTTACTTAAAAAGATACCCCAAATGTTAAAATATATTTTAACTTGAAAGTAGGTGGTTTTTTTAAAAAGTATTTTATGTGTTACCAGGAGAAAAGAAGCTGACCTTATCCTTTATTTTTTACCAGACTCACAGATGTGTGCTGCTTCAACATGGCAGTTACTGCAGAAAACATTCTTTAGTTTAATTATCTTTCAGTTATTGGTATTATGAAAAATAAGTTTGTTTATAATTTTAGTTATTCTTGTTGTCAAAAATATGTATTGTATATAGAATCTCTCCGTTTTTCTTTTGTTTGTTTTCAGTAACACCACTACATGTTTCTTTTCTTCTTTTTAAGAGAACAAGTACGATTCAATGGATTTGGGATTTTTATCTTCATTGTTTATCCTGGAGCATTTGTTGACCTTTTCACAACTCACTTGCAACTGATATCTCCTGTCCAGCAGTTAAGGATATTTTGTGCAGGTAATAGTTTGTGCTTTTTAATTTAAGCTTTGCTTAGCATTGTTACTTATTCTACAGGCATCGTTTGTGAACCTTTGATAGATTTAAGATTTAAAATGAAGAAGTACCAAAGCTTCTCTTGACCTAAAGATGTTCCTTCTGTTCTGAACCTACATTGTTATTTCAGAAGATCATTTGATCACTGTCCATATTGTGCTGCTTTCTGGGCTAGAGATGTCTGTTTCTAGTGTCTTAATGAGTACCAATTTCCTGTCATGAAAAACATTATTATATTCTAGATCTAATTCAGAATAGTTGTGCATAAGAAATTCCAGTTATGTTGTTTGGGGAAAAACGTGGTTTCTGACCTTCCTCTCATTAGGAAAAGCTCTTCCACCGGCTCAGGTGCAGAAGCACCTCTTTGTCTTATTTTATTTGTGTGTTGTTTAAGTTTTTTTTGCATATCATATGGCCTAAGTAGCAAAACCTTGGAGCAAAAAAGCTGGAAAATACTAAGTCAGAAGATGTAGTGTAAGAACAAAACTTGCTGTCACAGGTGAACATCCTTGAGCAATTCAGTACCATTTTCTGCAATAGGAGCAATCTATTTTTCAATAGTATTGTAAGTGATTTTCATTGACCTGTAAGGTATGTTATTATACAGGTCACTGTTTTGATGTTACCATCAGGAGGACATAAAGGTTAAAACACAAACATCCAAAGAGAATCATAGCTTATGGCCCCAAATAACCTCCAGATGGTTCTGACATGATATTTTTTGAAGCCTCTGGCTACTGGGAACTAGAGCCCTGTCACTGTGAAAAGTCAAACTGAGACTGTGTTATTCTGCCTGAACCACTTGTATGATTATTTCTATAGACAAAGGGGGTTCCCAAACAACTGAAATAAAGATAAAGAAGTTACTGTCTTGGTTTACTTCTTGATACTGATGACTTTCTATTGCAGGGGACAGTAGGCTAGCAGCCAGCCTGTTCTAATGTTTAGTCTCTAACACTGTTTCTTGAATATTCAAAACATCATATAGAGGGTAGACATACAGAAGCCTTTAGCAAACTTGTTTTCAAGCTTTCATAAATCAAGTAAATAATTACAAATGTTAGGTGAGTTAATATATCTATCTTCTAAATACTCTAATCAACAAAAATAATTCACTGCAATAGACTAATTTTTATGAAGCCCCATTTCTCAAATTAATCAATTTCCATTTTCAGCTACTGCGAACAGAACTCTAAGAAAAGGCCTATTGATTTTCCAAATGGATTGCTTACATAGATTCTTGAGAAATTATCTAGAAAAAAATAGATTCTAACCTGTAATAGAAAATAATTGTTTGCATGTTTTGACAGCAAGCAAGCACTTACAATAATTTGTCATGTTTCTTGGGAAACATGAAATAGGGTAATACAAAGGAAGGAGCAAGCATGTTGCAAGACTGAATATGAACAGCTTGTTTTCAATTTAGGTATAACAAATACATGCTTTTTTTTACAGTTAATGATTGATATGTTTCCGAACTAGGATGTTTGATAATGGTAAAAGGTGTTACTCAGTAAACAACTTCTTTGTTTTGATTGTCAGAACAGTTGAATGAGCCTATTCTCAGTGTTCAGAAGATTTGAATTTACAGACACATGCTTTCAGATTTTTGTATGGCAGCCAGGTAACAGAGCTAGAGTAGAGGACAACACCAAATACTCGTTTTGTAGTCCACCTATGCTTTGGAGATTAAAAAATATATTTGTTGTACAGCAGATGGCATCATGAGTTCAAGAATAGTAAATGGGAGTTCCCGCAAGACTTGTAGTGTTTAGAGCATAATTCCATGCCTGTTAGATGAAAAGTGCTTCTGTGCAGAACTTTCTTGTAATTAGTTCGAGTATTTGTATTACTTTTTAAGATAATTTTAATACATTTTGTCTCATCTTCAACAGGAGTTAATTATTTTTAAAATTTAATTATTTTTTAAAAATTTATTAATTCATAAATTATTTTAAGGTGGTTTAAGAGTTGTGTAAAGTGTTCCTTTTTAAATATAAGGAATTAGGTATCTGAGGATGAGGCTGTTGTAGCAAAATAAAGTTGAAGGTATACTGAGCAGTGTGTCTCTACAGGTATTCTCTTTTTGAGCATTTTTATTTTTCTATGAATCACCTGGATGAGTTTAAAACCTTTCTATTTTAGACTTTTCTGCTGTATTCCACACAGCAAACTGTGTCAGTTATGGTAGTAATGCTCATCTTTTCCAGCTGTTTGAAAGTATTCCTTGTCACACTCTAGCAATTCCATTACTTCTTTTTTCCTTTATTATTCTAAGGTTGGATTTTTCTCAGTTTGCTCTCTGTAGCAGCCACACTCCTGCGAAGGAATTTTATTTCCATTTTTCATTTTTATCTTTTGTTAAGCTGTTAAGCTGAAAAAATATTTTTGAGATAAAAAGGTTAAAACAATAAACTTAAAATATTTACTTACTGCTTTGGATTTGTTGCACTTGTGTGTCTGTTCACGCCTATGTGTGTGTATGTGAGATGAGGAGAACTGATTGCAGAAACATTTCCTATATCTGATTGCCTTTCAATGAGATACAATTAAAAACTATAGAAAGAGAAATAATACTTTGAGAAGTGTCTGCTAGTGGAAATGGCAACAAACCCTTACTTCAAAAATGTCTCTCATTTCTGCAGAATTAGAAGTGTAGAAGAAGACCAGGTGAGATGTAGAGAGGGGAGATAAGAGTCTGCCATATGTTCCCATTCCTGTGTTGTATACACTTCAAGAAAGATAGGTTTAATATATATTTAGATATATTTACTTCAGTTCCTGTCCTGTAACTGCACTGTAAATATGGAATTGAATCAAACTCATTGTAATAAGATGAAGCATTGTGAGAAGGAAATAGGGAGTCTTGCATTGTTCATACAAAATATTCTTGCATTGTTCATACAAAATCTGCAAGAACACAAACTCAGTGAGAAAATTTGAACAGTACTAAATGAGGAAAGCCATAAAGCTTTGATAATGAAAGCCAACTGTGTCTTATGGTAGTGGTTCATTTCCTCCTATGGAGAACAACAAATCATAGAGATTGCAGTTGCAAATCTGTTCCCCAAAATAATGTGTCAGGAAATGCTGATTGCACAACTTAGTTTCTTGATGTGGTTTTAGGTCCAGATTTTCTTGTAAGAGAAGCCTTTTTTTCAAATAATTTTCTAAACTCGTTTGGCACATATACACATAATTTCTGTTGAAATAATTCAGATAACCATGACAAATCCTGAATTGCCACTAAATTTCAGACATCTTGCTGACTAGTGCAAACAGCCCATTATTTGTAAATTCAGCAGTTCATTGTGATAGAAGGTGACAAGTACTACATTTCATTCCATTTTTTAAATTATATTTATGATTGAAGACAACTCTGTAGATAGAAACTGTATTTTAATAATTGATTCAGAAGCTCAGTTTTTCTTCTGGGTGCTTTCCTCACTGCATACTTAGAAAAGTAGTGGTACATGATGAAATCTCCATGTGGTAGAATGACACCTTGGAAATGGACTTACTGCTTCCCTGTCTTTTCTGATACTGTAATTCTCAGGAGCTCAGACATTTATCTAAAACCTCCTTACAAAATGGCATCATAGTAAAGTTTGTAAAGGAATATATGTATTCTTCTTTTATGCCTATGTTCAACACAAATTAACTTTTTATCCATTCTTACAGTAACAATTTCAGGAAAGTTAATTAGAAGGTAACTGTAGAAAAATTTCAAACCCAGCTTTGTTATTAGTTTTTATTTAGAATCCTTTTTTTCCTTCTTTTTAGGGGTGTGGCATAATTTTGTTCTTGGTGTTGCCAGTTTCATGGTTTTGTTTCTGCTGCCAGCCATTCTTTTCCCTTTCTATTACACGGGTGTTGGGGCACTTGTCACTGAGGTTGCAGAGGTAAGAAAAGATCTTTGCTGTATTCATATTATATGCTTTGTGACCTGAAATGTACTTCTGTCTCTTATTACCACAATCAGATTTAGTCAGTGCAGCACTCTGCAGAATCAAATATATTGAACTTCTTGCCTAAAGTTTTTTTCTTAGTCTTTTGTATTTTAATAAAAAAATAAAGGAACATAGTGTGAATAATTATAGACTATTCAGCATACTATAAAACTGTGTAGGCATTTGAGATGAGTTTGCAACTTACTTCTGGAGGGATTTTAACATTTTTTCAGTATTGGCACAAAGCAAATCTGCTGGAAACTGCATTATCACTCTAGTTACTGTTATCTGGTTTTAATGTTAAAGATTATTTTGAGCTGCTTTCCTTGTTTGGTCAGCTGGAAGCAAAGTGGAGATAGACTTCTGAGATTCTGGAAAGGACTGATTTTTTTTTTTTCTGACTTAATCAAATACTGCACAGTTGAACAGCAGAGCTGAAAGGATTCAAACTTTTTTCAGTCTGAAAGTCAACTGATATATCTGAGGAGAGAGTGACATTTATTATGCTTTATTACCTTTCAAAGTATAGTTACAAGCTGCTTTCTTGAAAGTTTCATGGTATTAATTTAAGTTGCTTGAATTTAATATGTTGTGGAGTTTCTTAGCCTTTTAACTTGTATGAAAATAATTACTTAAATTTGAACAGGTCCTTGGGACACTTGCAGGCCCTCCTTTCTTCCTTTTCATCCTTTTCCTTCTTTGCACTAAACAGTCATTATTTGTAAAGGATAGTATTTTTTGTATGCTTTGTCATAAATTGAAATAATCAGTTCTAGTGGAGTCTGAGATTTTGTTTCTATGGAAATAGTGTCTTAACCTAAAGATTTCATAGCTATTCAGTAGAACTGTAAACTAATCCTTGTAGTTTTAACTACAGTAATATGGCCAACTTCTCTGTTTTTCTCAGGATTCTCCTGCCAATGGACCAAGAGGTCTTTTTGTGGGAGACCTTGTCACTAACCTACAAGACTGCCCAGTTTATAATGTGGAAGACTGGAATTCCTGTCTGGGAGATATTTCAGAGAAGTCACAGGTCGGCTACTGTGTAAGTGCAGCCACCCTACAGCAATTAAGCTTTCCAACTAGAGGTATGACTTTAGGTGCTCTCCTCATTATTTTATGTATCAATTAATTTTAATTTTAATTTTATCATGTTTGAAAGACTGTTTTGGATTTAGGATTTGTTGTTGGGGTAAGATTTCTCAGGATTCAAGTCTGCTATCCTGTCTTAAGCAGTTACCAATGCTGTTTTGTAAAATCTGAAAGTCAGGACAAGGTAGACAGAAGAATTTCTCTTATTTTTCAGTCATCCTGTATAAATACCCTGTATGATCTGAATAATAAAATTTGCTTCTTCAGGATATTGCAAAACTTAGTTATTAGCAGTAATGCAATTATCTCCTCTATTTTAAGTTCCCTTAACTTAAAATCACGCAGCAATCTTTTGCAGATGTAAACCCCACACATTACCTTACAGCTTTGATCAGCATGACATTGCAAATTGTATGGCTTAAACCAATGATGTGCTTTATTATGGTCACTTCTTCTGATGTGTCTCACTATACTGGTTTTATGTCATTGCCCATAAACTCAGTTTTGTCTGGATTGCACATATTGCTTCTGGAAGTCAGTCTGTTTCCTTCTGTTTCCATTTATACATCAGTGCTTGTTGCTGTAAAGGCTTACCCCTGAGAAACCAAAAAAGAAAAAGTGAACTGAACTAAACCTGAACAATAAACAAAAATTAAGTAGAACAAAAAAGCATAGTCAAGTTAAATTGGCTGAATGTCTCGTGACGTGCCCTAAAGCTCTCTAGACTTTCTTACATGCAAGCATCCATGGAAACTGAATTCCAAAGGTAAGGGGCTGCTGGTGAGCAAAACCTGTATGATGCTATTCAGAGCTTTACAATTGTCACTGCATTTTTCCATCATACTGGAAATAAACAGGAGGTCAGGCAACTTGACTACCCTTGTTTGATGCATTGTAGTACTTCTGTGAGACTGAAAAGGCAGTTTCTTTTTTTTAGTATGTAAGGAAAGGAATCTTACAGCTGGAACTAAGATAAATATTTAAACTGGAAACTGGTGGAGTATGGGTAAGAAGCTGCTTTTAGAAACCTGACAGTTTGGATTATGCCTCTGAAGAGGAGGGCAACTTTGGCACATGCTTTCAGCTAGGCAGGGCTAGTAAGAACCAGCTCTCAGGCACTGTAGGTATATGTATGCTGAGGTTCTGCTGTTCTCTGAAACGCAATTTCAGAGTAACGGGTAATAAAACTGCATATTCTGCAGTTGAACCAGTCCTATTTAAATTGAAATACTAGAGGCTTAATACTGGAGGCTTGATATTGCTTCCAAGCTTGGTTGCTGTATCGTGTTAGCAGCCCTTTGTCCCCACTGCTGCCTTCTAATCAGACCAGTCTGTCTGCATTTTCAGAGTTATAAGCCTCCAGCAGTGAGAAATATTCCTCTGAAATTAAATGAACTCTGTTTGGTCTCTAGCAGCTGTCATTTATCAAAACCTTGACAGTTCACAACTTGACATAAATGCAGAGTATCAGTAAAAATGTATATAGCAAATGGACCCCATCTACTTGATCATAAAACAAATGGAGAGTAAACTATATGAGTATGAGGCTAGACAGAAAACAATGCTCCAAGGACCTTCCTGAAATTAAAGAAGAGAAAAATGTTTTCAATGTAGTTTATAAGGAAACTAATTTCATGGTCATTCACTGTTCAAAATCTATGTGGTTTCTTAGCCTCAGGGTACTTGAAGAAAGGTTTGTATGGTACAGTGCTTGCACCTGTAAGCCCCAGGCATAAAGCTCCATGTTACTGGACTGCAGGTTATGCAGTGATAAAGCAGCAACCACTATCACAGGCTTGTTCTACCTAAGGAAGGTACTGCAGTTGCTGTGTACAGGTTCTTACAGTGACCATTCTTTTGTGTGTGTGTTTTTAAGCTGTTGTTGCACAGTTAGTTGGGCTTATTTCATTTAAAGAGTGTCTGTGCAAAGATTCCAGACTAGTTAAATCATGGTTTAAAACATCATTTATTCACTGCTGCAACCCTCAAGGTTTGAAAAGCCTTCAGAATTTGAATCTTGTAAAGACTTTCGCATTTTGAAGAGTATGTTTTGAGCCTTGGTCGTTTCCATAGCCAGTCAGTGACATCAGTACAGTAGTGGCTGAATAAGTTCTATGCCAAACCTTGATGCAGGTTGGGGGCAATGAATAAAGTGGTTTTCATAACTCACAATGCTCAAAACGCTGCAGTGGTAGATGCCCAGTATCTCCAGGAGATTTATTAAGATAAAAAAATCAGTATGTGACATTCAAACACATTGGTGGTGAAACTTATTTTTAGTTGCGAGTGAACCTCAGCTATGCTGTGTGAATTACTATAATTCTCAAAGGCTACAGGATGGTTGTTTTTGCTTTATTCAGAGACTAATTTTTTTTCCAGGAAGTTACTGTAATATCAACTGTTTGCTCTATCCCTATGTTCTTTAGTCTACAGAAGACTCGATGGCACAGTTGAATGTTGTAGTAACAACAGCCTCACAGACATTTGCTTTTCATATAGCAATAAGTTGGACAGCCATCTGGTAAGTTGCTTCAACTGCTAATTCTCTTTGGTAAAACTAAAGTTATTTAAATTAATTAGTAATATTTACCAACATTTATGCAGCATGCTTATGTGTTTAAGAATATCGGGAGTTTTTAATTAAGGTATATATGTATATTATTCTTCCCATTTACAGCTTAAAACCCCACAATTAGTTATGATTTTTCCCATGTTCAATCAGTGAGTCTCTGGAAGAATCATAAAAAATCTTAAGAGCCCTCTTTCCTTCAGGCAAAAAGACACCTAACTGATTTTCAGTATTCTGGATGCAGAACTGGTGAAAAAAAACAACTTCTGAGAAGAAGGTGAAATTGGCTTATTTTGGTGCATCAGTCTTTAAAGGTATTGAGCACTACAGGCAAAGCAAAGCACTGGACTGCCTGTTCAGTTATTTTATCTGAAGTCAGTAGTTCTGCTCCCTAAGTTAAGCTGAAAACATGCAGGAGAAAGTCTTAGAGGTTGCCCAGTTTCTCAAAATGTCAGCCACTCTTTGATTCCTTTTTCACCATGTTAATTTTCTTGTCATGTGAAAATATAAACTTTCTCAGTAGGATTTTGAGTTACTTCCTTCAAAAGAGAATACAGCAGCCTTCCAGTGTCTAAAGGGGCTACAAGAGGACTGGGGAGGGACTTTTTACAAGGGCATGTAGTGATAGGACAAGGGGGAATGGCTTTAAACTGAAAGAGGGCAGGTTTAGATTAGATATGAGGAATAAATTCTTTACTGTGAAGGTGGTAAGACCCTGAAACAGGTTGCCCAAAGCAATTGTGGATGCCCCATCCGTGGAGGTGTTCAATGTCGGGGTGGATGGAGCTCTAGAGCAACTTGGTCAAGTGGAAAGTATCCCTGCCCATGGCAGTGGGATTGGAATGAGATGATCTTTATGTTCCAACCCAAACCATTCTATGATTCTGTGAAAATATAGAGATGTTTGTTAAAATATATGTTTCATATTGACAGTGATGGAATATTTCTATTGCTTCTTTTTACGAGAAAAAGAGCACAAGTATCAACTGTGTCAACTTTTGTACACATACCAGTTTGTTATTTTTCTGACCTCTAGTGATAAATACTTGAAGAAATTCAAATAAATCTGTTCTAAATCTGCTATGTTTACAGTTTCTGTGATGGTAAGCTTCCCACTCCAGGGTGTTTTTGTGGTATTTAACCACTAAGAATTGAGCACATTCCAGTGGTTCGTTTGAAATATGGCAGTAACTGGTAACATCCTGGAGTTCAGCGAGATTTGATAAATCACTATATGGAGCCCCTGGTGGTCTAGAGGTAAAGGCGCCGCGCTATCACCGCGGAGACCCGGGTTCGATTCCCGGTCAGGGCCACTCCCGGGCAGGTGGAGCTCGTTAGCCCTTAAAGGCAACCCACCTACGTCCTAAGGACCTCGCTGCCACCGTCCAAGCTCGCTTGGCCCCGGCAGATGAACCTTAGGATTAAAGGGTGGGCTCAGTTCCGCGCACACTGTGTCTCACCTAAAAAATCCAATGCGCAGGCTGGAAGGTGGAAAGACCTTCCCCAGATCTTCGCTCGCGAAGACTGGCCATTATATCCCACTGAACCCTGGCATTCTTAAGCTCATAGCTGCTATTTATGAACAGAGAAAAAATAAAAGCATCCAGAAGCCTGTAACCTTGTGACTTTCAAGTGTCCTTAGACTGGCTGTGAGTTTTTGAACAATTATTTTACATAGTCTTTGTAGTGCTATGCAACAGTATTTGAAAGTGTGTCCTCTCCCTCTCATTACAGTAGGAAGGCCTTATATCGAGCTTATCAGGCTCAAAAGCTAGAAATCACTTTTTTTTTTTTCTCCTCTCCTAAGGCAAACAGTAGGTTAAGAACTTCCTTGCTTATGTTTTAAGAACAAAAGGAAAAGTGTCACTGAGCTTTTACAAGAGATATGAGGGGGAAAACCAATTTCCTGTTCCCTTCTACTTTACTTTCTTCAGCCTGTGGGGAGCAAGAAAGATGTGGTCTTTCAGACTGTGGAGTGGTAGAGTTACAGGTAGGAATTATAAAGACACAGCACTGCATTAAGTCCTGTGTTCATCTTAGTTGAGAATAGTCACACACCTCATAGGTTTGCTGTTTTATTTACTGAACGTAAGTTTTTGTTCAGCCAAATGAGGTTTTTTAGATCAGTGAAGAGTACAACTTTTAATACAGGTAAGTCACTAGTATGTTGATTCCGTCCATTAGAAATCACTGACTTATGTTTAGATGCCTTCATTTTTTGTTATGCAAAAAATACTTTGCTTTTATTTTAGTATATGTGCACACCCTTTCTTCCTCATTCCACTAATTATGGAGTGAAAGGTTGAATACGTATCAGGTAGAGATATCTACCTGAGAAATCTAGAGATTCCTAGAGAAATCAGATTTCAGCTCTTCGTGGGCTGGCATCAGTGAGGCATTTCTTTTCTTTGAAAAGGAATATTTAGTTCCTTTTATTCTGATCTCTTGGTAAATACCTTTAACTTTCATAATCTTTTCAAATGCCCTTTGCAGCATGCCTGTCTGCCAGCACGAAAAGTTATTCAAGCCAGCAAAGTTTGTCGAACCAACATGGACTGCCAGAAGGACTTTGTTCCAGGCTTTTGTATGACTCCTTCTTTGGAGAACCAAACAAGGCTAATCAGGGTAAAGCATCCACCCCATATTGACATGCTATATGTAGGACACCCCATGCATCTTCAGTACACAGGTTGGTATTATTTATTGAAACAGTTTAGCAAAAACAATCTCCACTATGGTTTCCTATGCCTGGCTGCTTGAACAAGGTCTTGGAATGTTTGTCAGTTAAATTGTTTAATGCAGAATCCATTTCTTGTTACAGCCAGTGGAGAGACATGGACTACTCAGGCCTAAAATGAAATGTGCACAGTGCAATGAGTTATGAAGGTAATAGAAACCATATGTGATATGAGATGGTTGTTTTTTCAGAAAAGTGTGAAAGGTCTATTTCTAGAACAGATCTTACTCAGGTTAGTCACAGGGAGCAGATACCTGCATTTTCCCAGCACACAAACCTCTCAAGATGCTATTGTAAAATCTATAGGGCATCTTGCTCTAGCACCTTGCCTGGAATATTAGCATGACTGCTTGAATCACACCTAATATCCAAGCATCAGTGGCAAATTCCCATGACTACAGAGCCACAAGTATTATCACAATGTAGTCTTTTCCTGATTTTTTTTTTTCATTTGATTGCCCTAAATTAAATAACATATAACAGTTTAGTTCCTTACTTTGAAATTCACTGTGGCTCTTCTTTGGGCAAGCTTATGTACTTGAGCCAGGTATATAAGTGAGCAGTAATTCTGCTTTCCATACTCTCTCAGTGTGGACAAACTTATGAATATCCTACTTGGTAGCATGAGTGACACGGTGATATTTAGCTTCAGATGGGCTTTAAAAAGTTTTAAGTGTTAAACTACTATCCCTTCCCACGAGGAACCTACCTGTTCCTCATAGTCAGCTGTACCTCTCAGGGTGATCTTACTTCAGACATTTGGAAGTATCTCCTTAACAAGGCATTGTACTTTTCTGAATAAACACTGGGAATTAGGTACAAAAGAGCTTTATAAACAGTGATGAAATTTTGTAGTGTAAAGCCATTAACATTCTTGTATAACATATTTTTAGTAATCTGTCAGTCTTTATCTTTCTGTGCTGGTAATTTGATACTCTGTGAGGAGTTATTTATTTCAACTTTTTTTACCATATACCGTCATTTAATCCCCAAAGCTGGTCTTTTTGTTTGTTATATCTGGCCTCTTGCCATTTAAGAGGAAAACATTGTTCTCATGTGTGATATCAACACGCAGTTCTTCTGTATTTGTTGACATCTATTCCAAGTGGAGCAACATATTTTAAGAGGAGAGTTTTATAACTATACGGAATAACTTTCTTGGTCTCTAACAATACGAACTATCAGTATTTGTAGAACAGTTGATGTTATTCTCTTTTCCAATATGTTGGAGTAATGGAGTTTTGGTCAGTGTTTCCTACTGAACAGTAATTCTGCAAAAGAATTGAACCTGTCAATCTGTCAGAAATCAGAAAAAAATGTTATTGCATCTAAAGAGGTAGTTCTACTTTAAGAAGTTACTGTGTGAAAATACTGTTTACATACACATGTAGGAATGTAATTCTAAAGTGATTTATTGTCCCTGGGAATTGTGTACTGAATGTATTAATTTGAAAGCTAAGAGCTTGACTTTATTACAAACTTTGCTGCAAATGCAACCTATGCTTTGTGTTCCCCTTGGAAAAAGGTCCAAGCTAAAATTCTAAGATCCTACTTTGGGCAGCAGGTAATCTACTGTACCATCATAGAGTTTCCTGCATTCCAGTGAAGCAGATTCTAAATATCTGAGACTTAGTTTTGCACTGTACAATATTGGCTGGGGCCAACAGGTCTGGTGTGGAGTTTTTTTTAACAGTTGTGACTGATCAGAATGTGGTAACCATTTCTTTACAGTTAAGAAAAGAAAAGAACTTCCTCCTCTACTGCATGAGTTTTGAAATTGGAATATGTTTTAGAGAAATGTCTTATTCTTTCATGTGATCTTTCTGCCTGCAGGAAACATTACTTTTTAGAGTGGTGCTACATTTAACATGCAACAAGATATGAGAGTTGCAGTAGGGTGTATTATGTCTTTAGTTTGTCTAGAAATGTCAGTAATGTTTGAAAAACCTTCTAAGATTATGCATTTATTATTTTCTATGTAGGCTTGTAATGTTGTCACGATAGTACTGATTTATGGCCGTTTCCTGTCTTTGGGGATGTTTATGAGCAACAACAGCCATAATCCATGATGAAGGTCTTTGTGGTCCAGCCTGTTTTCTCAGTATTTCCATGCTTCCCTTATCACTGAGGATGGTCCTTCTTTGCTTTTAACCCATACTTAAAGAATTACATGTATAGTTCTTCTGGAGACCACACAGAAATATCTCATGCCATGCTGTCCTTCTCCTCTATAGCATACATGCCCTTTCCCCCATGAACAAGTTTTGAAAAGCTCTTTGGTCATCCTAGTCTCCCAGTCACTTCTAATTAAAATTGTGTCTGCTGTGCATTCTTCTTGATATTTGCCAACACCATCTAGCATTAGCCAACAAAAGAAATGTTATTTCCAGGTCAAAGAATTGTTTAATTAGAGTGGGAAAACAATGACTGTTTTCTCTCACCCGGGACTCATTGCTGTTCACCTCTTCCCAGCAGTGTCTTTTTGAAGACAAGCCTAGAGAACATAATTTCTGTAATTCTTTTGTTAGTCCTTGGAAGGACAAATTTGCCTACTGCCATTAGGTTTAATCCATTACAACCACTAAATTCATTGTGTCATATTACAGTGGCTAGAGGTCAGTCCACCAACTTCCTGAAGAGTTTCTTTGTGTTTGGAGTTTGCTTCAGTAGCGAAGTTTGGAGTTTAGATCCATGTCTAGTGGTTATTGGTGACAACAACTTCTTGTAACAAAGAGGGAAGAAGATTAGTAATCCATTCTCAGTGTAGGCACAGCTTCAGGTTCAGGGTGGTGTCTTAGTGACCATTAGGTGTTAGTCAAGCAGCAGTCGGGTTTTTGAAATTAAAGTATATTGGAATGTGTGTCTTTTGAAGCCTTTGAATACACTGGATGCCTCAGCCATTTTGATATTTTGCCTCATGAACAAGAGGTCAGATCAGATGTTCTGATACCAGCCTTCAGCATGACGAGTTGTTTGCTTTGGATATCACTTGACCTGGATGTACATACAGACTGGGTAATGAGGGGCTGGAGAGCAGTCCCACAGAAAAGAGATCTGAGTGTCTTGGCTGCTGGCAAGTTGAATCTGAGTCAGCAGTGCCATGGCAGCCAGGAGGGCCAACTGTGTCCGGGGGGGCATCTGGCAAAGCATCGCCAGCCAGGGAGGGAGGGGATTGTCCCTCTCTGCTCTGCACTGGGGCGGCCTCACCTTGAATATTGTGTGCAGTTTTGGGCACCACGATATAGGAAAGATATTGAGCCATTAGAGGGTGTCCAAAGGAGGGCAACAAAGATGGTGAAGGGCCTAGAGGGGAAACCATATGAGGAGTGGCTGAGGTCACTTGTCTTATTCAGCCTGGAGGGGACCTCATCATGGGCTACAACTTCCTCACGAGGGGAGGAGGAGGAGGGCCAGGCACTGATCTCTTCTCTGTGGTGACAGAACTTGAGGGAATGGCCTGAAGTTGTGTCGGGGGGGGGTTAGGTTGGTTATCAGGTAAAGGTTCTTTGCCCAGAGGGTGGTTGGGCATTGGAACAGGCTCCTCAGGGCAATTGTCACAGCAACAAGCCTGACAGAGTACATGAAGCATTTGGATGATACTCTCAAGCACATGGTGTGATTCTTGGGTGGTCCTGTGCAGGGCCAGGAGTTGGACTTGGTGATCCTTGTGAGTCCCTTCCAACTTGGGATATTCTGATACTACTGAGACACTTGTATGACGATTCTGTTCCTTTTATTCAGACAAAAAGAGCTGATCCCTGAAGCTGTGGGTCATATTTCTGTCAGCCCAACCCCTTCCCTGATGAGCCCCACCCTCAGCTCTGTCCAGAGGGCTGGGCCAGCAGGTGTGGAGGTGGAGGGCGCTGTTCCTATTGTGGCTGGGGCTGGGCAATTTCTGCAACTGCTGCAGGGCAGCTGAGGAAGGGCTGGGGAACAAGGACAGCTCAGGGATCAGATATGCCAGTTTTTTAGGGCTGCTACAGTGGTGGGTCAGGTTCAGATAAACTGTTCGGGCTGTCTGGGCGGGACATCAGACCAACACGTTCCTGCCGGTCTCCATAGAGGCGCCTGTGAAGAGAGGAGATGGCTAAGTTGCAGATGTGACACAGGGACTCTCCTCCACAGCAGGGCCCAGAGCTGACAAGGCTCACCTCCATGGGTGGAGCTGCAAAGGTGAATACCTGCACTTCAAGGCACCACTAAGCAGGGGGATTCCTCCAGGCAGGTGCCAGTGCATGTCTTGCTTTTCAGAGCAGTATTGTCCCCCACTCTTTCTCATCCTGACCTTGCTTTGCCTCTGCCTGTTGCTTGTGGGGGCTATTCTTGTCCAGGCAGGCTCAGTTTGAGCAAACACTGGTTCCAGTGCAAGCAGACTCCCCAGGAGAAGACCCAGGAATTAAAAGGCAAATTAAAGCCTCTGACAGCAGCAGAAACCTCAGCAGAGTTTTATGGCCACCCACTAACTCACTGCTGCACAGCAACCTGACTAAAAATGCTTCATGGCTGTGAGCAGCCTTTGAAGGGAGCAGAGGGTGTGGGGGGATTGGTGACTCACCGTTTTCTGTCACACCACCAGCAGATTGCAGCAGTACACAACAGTATCCCAACTGGCACAGCAACCAGGACTATCACTATTCCTATCATACAGCCTGCTCCACGACAGAACATACTTTCAATGTGCTCCTCAGGTTTGGGAACATGTGTGGTCGTCGCTACAGTCACTTCTGCAGGAGAAATTCAAAATGTTAGCACATCCTCTGCCCCACTTGTAAGCTTGCAGCATGTTTGATACCACCAGGACATTCTCTGTTTTCCCCCAGTGCTGGTGCCTGGAGGCACACTCCCATCCTCTGGGACAGGTTGTCCCTCCAAATGAAACTCAGATGGTCAGGAGGAGAGCACAGGAGGGAGCATCACTGCTTGACCAGTCATTCTTTCAAGGGGCATGGACAAAAACCATCCCTGCAGCAGGCAGTGCCACACGCAACTCTCCCTCCCTGGGCCAACTCCCACAACCCCAAGGGGATGGAGTCAGGGCCTCTCAAGAGACACTTGAGCTGTGCTCCCCCCCCATCCGCCTTTTCTCCAGTTTGGGCACCCCTTGCAGCCACTCCCAGGTTTCAGGATGTGTCTCACACTTAGGAGGACTGCTCAGTACCTGAGTGCTCTGAGTCCATTTTAGGAGATGTTTTGGCATTTCCATTGTGCTTTTCTCCAGACTTTGACAGCACTGCCAAAAAGCAGAGACAGGTAAAGCCTCAGCATGTCTCAGGAACAGAGGATGCAGGAGGATGGAGAGGTTCCCTCTAGGTTCCCTGCCCAGTGTGGGAGCCAGAACATTGTTCTGGACCTCAGCTCATGAAAGGGATCCTTCTCTGGGCTGCTGTTGTGCCTTGGACCTCTAGTTACTCAGGGCAAGCCCTGGGATGAAGCTACAGTGGGAAGAGTCCTGTTTTTCATCATTTGTGGAATAGGATCCAGATGTCTTGAACCTAACACACTTTTTAGCTTGGCTGCTGATGTGACGTGCAAGAGCAGGCACAGGGGGAAGAGCCTGCTGCTACACAGCTATTCTGATGGCTGACACCAGCTGACCACAGGACAGCAAGTACCTGGCCACGCCAGTGGTTGCCGTTGGCCATGGAAGGAGCAACTTGCATTTCATGTGGAAGGAAGATTAAAAGGTAAATGCTACTTCCTCCGACTGACTTACATGTGGGCTCACGCTTTTGCTTGAGGACTCGAATTGGCAAAGATTTCAGCAAGCCACCAACCTCGTCATCTTAAAGAAAAATTGCTCATTAATAAACTCTTGATACATCATTGATCATTATTCTTTCAAAGAAAGGGATGTTGAGAATTTACCTGCAGATTCCAAGAGCTCCAAACCATCTTTCTGCCAAGCTGCCAGAGAGTCTTTTAAAGAATCAGCTAGAAGCAAGCACAGAGAAATATTTCCATTGCATGTTAGGATCTTCTGCCTTTATGAACAGAAGAACTGGAAGGGGGTCAGGTAACAGTGTGAGAGCCAGATATCTGTGGATTGCCAAAGCTGCAGAGGAGGACCTGGGGACCTTTGAGCTGACAGCGCAACTCTTCTTTAAGGCGATGTGCAACACCCTGGAGGAGCAGATGAGCCCTGGAGACTCTCTTACCAGGAGTGCACTCACACAGAGGAAACCCTCAGAAAAGCACTGGAGGAAAAGCCCATCATCCACACTTCTCAGTGAGAAGACCCCACTGGCCCATGGAAGGCTGCACTGGTGCCACCAGCTGACCTGCTTCCTGCAGTTGCCCTGTAGCAGCCTGGGCAGCCCTGGCGTGCAGGGCAGCCAGGAGGATGAGGAGGAGGAGGTGGTGGACAAGGACCATGGTCCCCCTCACACCCACTGCTACTGCTGTTGGTGTCGCTGCTGCTGCCCTCAGGGAAGGGGCTGAGCAGTCGGTTCTTCGGGCCAGTGCAGCACCCTGGGGCTCTGTGACCTCATGGCCCTGGAATGGCCACAGAGCTGGGGGCAGGGCTGTGTGGGGAGCTGCCCTCCCAGGTGGGGGAGCACATCCCTTAGGGCAGCTCTGTGCAAGGGCTGGGACACAGCCTCCCCCCAGCTGGATCAATTACACCATCAACGGGTTTGCAGACAAGGTCAAGCTGAGTGGTGCAGCTGACACACCCGAAGGATGGGAAGACATCCAGAGGGACTTGGACAAGTTCAAGAAGCAGAACTCATGGAAAGCTCATGAGGTTCAATAAGACCAAGTACAAGGTCCTGCACCTGCTTCAGGGCAACCTCCAGTATCAAGCTGCAGAAGGTTATAGTGTCTTCCTGATTAACTACTGTAACTTTTTAAAACAAGCTAAATTAGTATTTTAATAAAATCTTGCATTTAGTTGAGTAAATTTTTGTGTAGAATGGATGCCAAGGAAAAATATTTTCTCTTTGTGCTTTTTTTTTGGTGGTTCAGCTGGTTTTTTTAATGGCTGGTTTTTTACTGGTTTTTTTTAGTGGCTGATACTAAATACTGCCAGACAAACACACAGAATGTTCTCAAGACCTTCCTAGCTGTATGTCTGATAATCAGTGGCTTAACATACAGGCTTTCTTCTAGAAGTAGGTTAGATACAAGGAAGAAATTCTTCACTAAGCATGGTGAGGCACTGGAACATAGGTTGCCCATAGAAGTGGTGGATGTCCCATCCCTGGTAATATTCAAGGCCAGGTTAGATGGGGCTTTCAGCAGCCTGGTCTAGTGGAAGGTGTTTCTGCCCATGCCAGGGAGGTTGGAATTAGGTGATCTTTTAAGGTCCCTCCCAACCCAAACCATTCTATGATTCTGTGATTGACTTGGATGCCTCTGACTTTCTGAGCTGGGTGGTGTCCCGTATTTCTGTCTGGTTTGTTCTTCACTCAGTAGTCCAACATTTATTTTCCTTAAAACAAAGATTAGTCTTAAGCTGTAAGAGAGAACGTGACTTTCAAGCACAGTGGCAGTTTTGGTACTGGAAAGTTCTCTGCTTGTTTCCACACCAAATCATTCTTTTTTTTGGGACTCTTTGTTATATATATATAGATCTCCATCCCCATGGCATGCTTGCTGGCTGGACTTATCACAAGGACATTTGTCAACAGAAGAAAATGTCTTTATGTGACTGAATCGACCAGTTCTCTGCCTTATGTGCCTTTGGTACTACTTTCCCTCACCTTTGTTTCCATGTCCTTGAATTCTTTGTTGAACTGGAAGAAACTTGATCGCACTCTTAAATACTTAGCAGCATTTCTGAATTTGAGTAACATTTTTGGTACGTTATGTTCCCAGTGTCCTCTTAGCCTACGGTTTTAAGATTTCTGTAAGGGTGGCTTAAATTGTTTCTTTCCCAAGGGATGTTTGTATTGTGTGGGATTTGAATTCTTGCTTTCGCATATCTCTGTGGAGGTGGAATGTCTTATGGCTATAACTTTTTCCCAAGTAGGTAGGGAAAATTCACATCCAAACTTGCTCTTTAGGGACAGAAAGACTGTTGTTGGTACCGTGCAAGTACCAAGGCCATTTTCGAATCTCTGCCTTAATTTACCTTAAACCCTTCCTTCTAGGGATAAGACTCGGTTCTACTTTCCTTCTACAGGAAAGGTGTCTTTTTTCCAGCTGTCATAGAGCTAAGGTTTCCACATGGTCCCTGGTGCTGACAGACTCAGACTGCTGTTTACTTTGAAAGACTGTAACAAGATTTTTTATGAGACAACCTGAGTGGAGCATCCCTGAACTAACAATGTCCACTCTGGCAGGTCACAAGTTACCTCACTTTTCTTTGAAGAACCTCTCAAGAAACATTTGACGTGCAGTAAACTGAAGATTCATGTACACCTTCAAAGAACAGTGTATACAGCAATAAAGTATTTCAAGATCACGCTGTGCTTGAAGCTGCCATTTTCCCGTCACTGTTTATAGGAAGGATGCCGAGTTCCATGTCTCAGGTTTTTAAGTTGCATCAAGTTATATCTTGGAGTCACTTATCATCTGAACACGAAGCTGCTTTATGTACTGGCTAACTGGTGTTGTGCAGTGCAGCTGTGCGTCACCTCGCAGCCTTGGCTTTCTCAGAGGGACTCCAGCATTCTGCTCCCCATCTGCCCCACACCTGCATACCATGAGCTCAGCCTCAGGTCAGGGGGAGCTTCTGCAGGTACTGCAAGAGAAGAATTTTCTGGCCTTCAGAGACAATACACATGTACACCCACAGCATACAAGTGGATGGCATGTGTTGAAAAAGTCTGGTAACTATAATCTTTTTTGAAAAGAACTGAAATTACACAAAGGGGTCTTTATGACTATAGATGTACAGTTGCCTCTGAAAATATGTATTTTAGATCTAGTTTTACTGAAATGCTAATTGTATTTTGTGGAGTGACTTTACTATGATAGTGGCCATGTTTAAGAAAGATTTAATGTCTGCACTCTTGTGAAAACAAAACAAGCAAACCCATATTTAGACTGGTTATTCCTCCTTGAAGAAGGTAATTTCATATCTGATGTGTCTGCAAAATTATAATCTAAAATTTGTAATGTTTTAACCCTGGAATTAATTTTCATGCTTTATGTGTCTTTATATTTTCATTTCAGTAAGTCTCAGCAGTTTTGTACCACGCCAAAACTTTCTAAGCATCGATCTGCCTGTGGTGATAGAGACATTTTGCAAGTATCCTTTAAAGTATGTTTGTTCTTTTAAGGCAAGAATGGAACTGTTCAGAATTTAGTGACTTAGCAAAGTTTCAGTTGGATATCATTTTAGACAGGATGCTCTGAAATATTTCTATAGGGTTTTGACATCTTTATCTCATCTCTTCATTGATTATTGTCTGTGTGCCAAGCTCAAAATGAAATCTCTCACTTTCCTGTGCTTAACAATATGTTTCTGGTCAGTGTTTTTTTTAACCCTTGAGGGTGAGCCTTAACAAATGTGACCAGAAAGTGAAAGTAAGTCTGAATTTACAGTAGCACAAATAAGATGTTCTTGCTAGCTTTGGTATGTCAGAGTTTTACCATTTTTATGTCATTATACTGAACTAAAAAACAGGGTATGGTTGTTCTTTTTAATTTTTCTTCAACAGAAAAGCAAAGCATATTCACAAAGCAGGATAGTTCAGTTAATACATGCTTGCTAATGAATGAGATGATACATATACACATGCACAAAGCTTAATAGGTTTGAATATAGCTAATCTAAGAACTCTTACTTTAGAAACTGAAATGTTTATGTATGGCTATTGTTGACGGGCTCCCACAGGCTATAGAACAGTTAAACTGTGTAGCCCATAGAACTGGAGTAAAGATAATCTCCCCTTTTCTGGGAACATATCAAGGTTCACACTGCCCCAGATGCTTTCTGAATCATATGTCTTCTTGCCTGGCCGTTTAAGATGGAGGTAGGTATTGCAGTTAGCAAGCCTTTACCAACAGTCAAAATTATCTACCCATGCCTCATTCTCACGTGCACACACACGTACAGAAATCCACTCAACTTTTCTGGCTAATAGGTAAGTAGGAGAGATAGGTCAAATTTCCAATTATATTCTAGTCATTTACTAGGGAGTGTTTTGGAAAATATTCCTAATTGTGATTTCATACTTGGGCCATAGGTCTAGAATACCTTCTTACTTCAGGCATGGTGTCAGAGCTGTAACCTTCCTCCAAAACCATACAAAGCAAGGGAGGAAGATGGGCAGCATCAAGTGTGGTTTTACTGTCTTCTGTTTTCATTCAAGTTGTGAAGAGTGCAGGTTGTCTAAGTATACCAACCTAGCACTTAAAAAAAAAAAAAAAGATCTACAAAGGCAATTCTCTGAGCATGTAAGTTATGGTGTAAAATTCACTTTACTCATATAATTTCTGTGAAACAGAATGGCAGCTAAAAAAAAAGTAACCCTCATATGTTTCTCTCTGCATACTAGAAATAGTATGGTAATATGTGCTTTCTATTTATTTGTTTGTTTGTTTATTTATTTACTACATTTTCTTGTATATGAACCTTAACTAAAGTCAACCAGGTACCTAATTTCACTATCAGGAGCACTGGCAGTTATCAATGCTGTACCCTGCTTTGCTTTGGATGGTCAGTGGATATTAAATTCATTCTTGGAAGCCACGCTGAGTTCCCTCATTGTAGAAAAACAAAACAGAGAACTTGTTGGCTTTTTAATTTTGCTTGCTGGTAGTGCACTTTTGGCTGCCAACGTTGCACTGGGACTTTGGATGGTGACAGCACGATAGAGCATTGGATACATTTCCATCAGTTCTCAAAGTACACAGAAATAATGAATCTATTGCCTTTTAAAACTTGTCCTGTACTGAGACTGAAATAATTCCCTTAAAATGATACTGAAAGAACAATCACTGATGGGTGCCGTTTTAATTTAAAACTGTACAACATTGTGCCTGTGGTCATGAGAAATCTAATAGAACTAAGAACCTTTTTATTTACTCTTGAAACACTAATAATTTTGGACAAATTCTATTATAAAGTTTCACAGGAAAAAGTTAGACTTCATTAATTTAGGTCTCAAAATAAGGGAATTATTTGGCCTCAAACGTTTGTAAAGTGGGAGAAAAAAAACATTCCAGTTTTATAATTTGAATAATTGTCAGAAAATCTGTGTGGGTTCTGATCATTTGTCAGTCAGCATCATCTTGAGTGTCTTGTTTTATTTTTTTAATCTGGTATTCTACCAGACTGGACTCTAAGAAGCCCTAAAGTCTGATCTCAAAATGGTGAAATGCAAATGCTTACCATGTGTTAATGGGGAGACAGCAGCAATATGGGTTAGTGGCTTTCCTTTTCAGCTGGCCAAAATGACTGGAGGAATGTTGTCCTCAGGATGTAGATGTGCCAGTGTCTGCTAAAAATGAAGCATGTGGGAGGATAACAAAGCCCACATGTCTGTTTCTTAACACATTCAGTTGTATATTATCATACGCAGCTGAAGTTTTTTTAAAGGCAATATTTGTCAGCAATAGCTACAAGATAACAGAAATTTAGTTTCTGAGTGCTGAAGTATGCTGTGCACAATTTTTCCTCAGTGATATGTAATGTTTGTGTTGTTTTACTCAGAAAATAATACTGTATTCTACCTGTTTACAGTTAAAAGTGAAACCTGTTGTTTTTATGATGTGTATCTTCTGATGCTATGCATGTAATATGTACAGTAACTCACTGATGGCTTTCTCTATTTCAAAGGGTTGTTTTCCTTTGCTAGGATTTATTCCACTCAGAGATAGCTAACAAAGATACTTAGTTGAAGCTGGGTTTGGATCAGAATTATTTAGAGGAAGAATATGATTGTGAATTGAACAATGTCAACGTTTTGCTTTGCTTTCTGAAATGAATGCAGACCATATGCTTGTTCTTAAATGAACAGTGGAAGAACAGTCAGTGTTTTGCTGATTGAAGTATGTCTGACATACTTTGAAGCTCTGTAAGTCTGTAATATTTTGTACCCGGTAGGATTATATATTGACTGTCATGTCCTCTTCTGATATGTTGCCCAGTATCTAAATCAGATTCAATCAGAGCCTTGTCTCAATATAGGCTGATATTTAAACAAAAGTGCTCCAGTTTGGGAGCACAGATATTTGAAATACAAAGTTTTTGAAAAATATGCTGCAACTTCTGCCTTGTACAGTGCTCCCTGTAGGAGCTGCTGCAGCCCAAACTTCCTTTTACAGAAATGGCTTTTCCATCAGGAACTGAAGTGGAACCTAAGCTCATGGATACTGGCCTGCAGGGAGTACTGGAACTTTCATGACCAGGTCAAATACATCCTTTTGGCTCTAGAAGTAAAAGCCTGGGTAATTTTACTAGTGGAGCTGAGTCCAATTCCTGGTGCTACTGCCTGGATTCCTCACTGATGTTTGCATTTGCCCACCGATGTGTATTTTTGCACAGTTCCTTTCAGACTTCATTAAGATGTACTCCTTTCTTAAGATGATGCAAGCAGTAATGAAACCCTATATGTCTGTTTGTCGCTGGCTAGTTTACTCACCTCTCCAGTGCTGTTACAGGCTGGGTGGACCTCTTGAAGTTCACCTCTGTGGGGTGGCAGGCTCGTGCCTCCCATTTTCAATTGTTTCAGCCCAGGCATATGGACACAGATCCTGGTAAGAGAGAGTAAATCCTCCAGTCAGCCCAGTGTGAGTTGGTCCCTTTGCGGGGACTGTTAAAAGTCACACGAGGTGTAAGAAAGGGAAAAACAAACTATGCCCTGAAAGTCTAACTTGTAATTGCTCCTGGAAACATACAGAAGTTTCAGGGGAGCAGTTCTGATGGGCCACTCTGTCATCTCTCCATGAACAGAAGGATAGGAGCATCCTGGTCCTTGCACAAAGCCTGGCTCTGAGGCTCAGTTCTAGAAGCCTGCTCTTTCACCTAAGAGGGACTGCTTACTGATCTGAGGTCTTCCTTTCAGTGGCTCTGTGTCTTGTCCAGGCTACAGTGCAAAAAATTAATTTGCACTTAGGAGTTTTAATGTAATTTAGTAAGACAGGATATTTAGTTTCAAAACATGTCAAGTTTGATACTTTATATGTATGACTAAAATGGCTTGTGACAATCTTTTAAGGTAGTGCTTCTCAGAGAGATGTAGGCAACAGATTTAAAAAAGCATTTCTGAATTAACATACACAAATTACATCTGCTATAATGAGGCCAGCAGGTTGTTCATGGTTATTTAGTGTCCCACCGATCCATGAAGTCTTATCAAAGGAAAGTAAATCCAGTTTACTTTACATAATCACTGAAAACCACAGTTACACTAAGTAGAATGTCAGTCTGTGTCTGACCTCAAGATCAAGAAGAGGGTGGAGAAGATATTGGTCATGGTTTTAGCAAAACAGACACACTGGTGTACTGTAAAGACCCTAGATATCTTATATAGAAGAGAGGCTACTGGAAGTGTTTAAAAAAATAATTCATGAGTCCATTTCTCCACATACTGGAAATCCACTGAATAAGGGTTGATTTAGGTATATACAGGTGCTTTGAATCAAGACTTCAAGCAAACTGGGCATGAATAGTGACCCAACACATCTTTAATTACCTGTGGACAAAGGTAGTACTTAAGTTGGGCCTCTGTCTGGAGAAAAAGTTGTTCAGTGGACCCATTTCATTCTCCTGTAATCCCAACATATGGATTACATTCTGATAAGCATGTGCCATGCATACAGTTATGGGAAGGATTTTTCCTGGGGTTTTGGTTGTTTATTTCGCACAAAAGGACACAGTGATTTCTCTGTGTTAGATTTTTACTCTGGAGTATTTGTGATGTTTCTTCCATGTTTGTAAAAATAGAAGGTAAGCCTTTCCTTAAAATGAAATCTTTCCACTTATTCTAATTAGCCCCTCAGAGTCTTCAGTACAAAATCCATCAATGTAATTATAGGGCATATCGACTGGACTATAGAACAGAGCACTCTTAAAGATTGGATGGCTGCTACTATTTATGTATATACTATGCATTTTAAATCTGTATCAGATGGAAAAAGTAATGTCTAATATTCAGAAATGTTATAAGTAGCTTTTACGTGAAAATTGCCAGAAAATTTCCATAAGTATTATCACTGTTCTCCTTTGTTTTTTATGAGATTTTTTTTATATCAGCAAAGATTTACATAGCATGTTCTGATAATGCAAAATAAAACATGAAAATGGCAAATTTCTTAGCATGGAGGATGTTACATGCTCTTTGCTAATTAGGAAATTAAAACCAGCTTGCTTCTGTACAAGTTAAATGAAAGAGGCTTCACTAGAAAAAGTATAAACAAACGTGCAGATTAGTTAGCCCAAATTGTGAACCACAGTGGAAAATTTGTTAACTCATCCTTTTTATTGAGAATGAAACAACCAACTATATTGACAGTTACTTTTTCCAGTGATGGTTCTGCATTTGTGGACATATATGTGTATATAAACATACATTTCTATAACAGATACATTTACAGCTGCAGGATCTATTAGTGTTTTTTTAGGGATAACATACAGTCCTCCATACTCTGCAGTGTAGGCCTTTGTTTTTCTTTTTCCTTCTTTCTATGAATTCTCTCTATGGCTTTCTCTGGATTTTAAAACAGAAACTATGTTGTTCTCCCATAACTGATCTTAACTTTGTTAAGAGAAGGTAAGTGATGGGGATGTAACAGCTGCCTGAGTTTTGTTCAGTTGATGTTTATGTTTCTTAGTTTCTGTGAAGCCTCAGCTACAAGCATGGTAAACATAGATTTTTCAGGGCAACTAAAAGAGGTCAACCTTGAAATCCATCACTCTCTTAATGCTGCTGTTTGTGCTATTCTGAATGATAACTGGGATAAGCAAGACTGTGTAGAGTATACCGAAGAAATAAAGTTTTCAGGACAGACCTCCCCATAGCAGTCAGGGTGTTTCAGCTTTCTTTGAGTAAGAATATATTTTTGTTCAGTTTAGCACATCAACAATCCCAGTTTTCCCAATAGTTTCCTATACATTTTACATGACAGCAAAGGCTGACCTCTAGGAAATATTTTTAAAATAAATTAGTATATCATCCTCTATATGAAATATCTGAAATTTATGACAGACGAAGCAGGGTTATAAAGGTTTATGTAGCCTAGTCTGTATTTAATTGTTTTAAAAAAAGTGAGTTAAACTCTAGATATAGTTATTTGTAAAATATGCATTCTGTACACCTGCATTCAGACCAATTTCCACAACTATTCTTGCCTCAGCTTCGTTCTTGTACACTTGTGAGTAAGGAATCTGGAGTTTTAACACGGGTAAAATCCAATATTAGCAAGTATTTTATATCCTCTTCATCCTGAATTTCATGTAACGCTTTATGTAGATTAGTTATTTAATGTGACTGAGTTACCTGGGGTATATTACCTGTCTTAATGCAGCATGTGGGAAGCATTGTACAAGGGACTGCCAAGAAAGGGCAGCTCTGTGACTCCTGTTCCTTGGACTCCACCACTACCATCAAGTGAAGAGCAGATGGCAGTGATTAAGGGCAGTGAAGAACTTCAGTTTATGGCAGCTTTATGAAACCTTCCCACCGCTGACCCGGTGTGAAAGGACGGGAACAAAGAGCAGGATATGACACTGCAATTCCATTCATTCCATTTACATTGTATGAAACCTGAAAAGAACTTGTGATTAACATTTCAGAGCAGGAAGGTACATTTTCCAGCCCTTCACTGAATCATGCAGTGACTGATGATGAAACTTTTTAACATTTTGTCTTTCCATTGATAAATATGTGCTGAATAAGTAGTATGAGTAGTTGTAGCTCATTTTGTAAAACAGACTTGGATGTTTCTCACTTCTAGATGTTCGTCTTAGGATGGTTTTGCAGCATCCTAGTGTAATTGACCTTTGTTGATACTAGTTTGAAACGCTGGAGGTTATTTCCAAGCCATCACTAGAAAATATCTGTTTACTTCCTTCCAAGTCATTTGTTAATATTTTAAATTCCTCTTTCCCTTACATAACTTTGCTTTTAGATTTCATATACTCAGATGATCTTATCTGGAGCCTGTCAATGGAATATGTATTGTTTTGAAATTCACTGTGGAGGTTTTTTCCTCTACATAGCCTTATTTTTCACACTGACTCACAGCTGTGGAATGTTAGATTTCTAGACCCTTTGTTCCCACTATGCATTGTTCATGATCATGTTTTGGTTTTTTTTTTTAAAAGGGAAAAAAAAGAAAGCTTCGTTTTTAAAATGTCAGCTAACAAATATATGGAAGAGTGAATAACGTATTGTGGTTTTGTTTTGCCTTTTTTTGTCTATTTAATCAACCAAACAATAAGTATTGTTTTCTATGTATGATAAATGTATCCTGCAAATAAATTCATTGTTTGATTGTTAGTGTGCTTAAATCTGTTTTTAAAAATAAGGTAGAGTGACATAATCCCTTATTTGTGGCAATCGCCATATTCTCTCATATATTCTCGTTCTCTTCATTTGTGATTCATATTCTCTCTCTGGGTACTGACAAGGCACCCCAAGGTACACTCTCCTTTTCAGTATCTGACCACCTCCTAAAATTAATAATAACTATCACTAAATTTACTTTCCCTAATTACCAGCTTATCACAGTAAGAGTTGAAATATTTGACACAGGATGCCTAGTCAAGGTAAGTGAAACCACTCCTCTGGCCAGTCCTACCTGAAAGACTTTAAATGTCAGATCTTCAGATGACATGAAGGTGATGTTATGTATCACAACCTGTGATTTGTATATACAGGCCAGAAGTGGGCACATATCTTGGCTAGTTCTGAACAAGTTCCTTTCAGTCTCCAGGTGTATCTGGGGCTGGGTGAGCACAGTGTAACTGGCTAGTTCAGCTTTATTGGAGAATGGAGTGCTACTATCTGTTTCTTCAGGAAGCTCATCTACAGTCAGCCAGGTTATTTGTACTGAGAACAAAATTGTCCTTTGTTGCTTACTGGACAGGCTGTTACTTTATACAAGCAGAACTGTTTCAGCAATCGTGGCTTTGTTCCCAGATAAAAGACTACCATGAGGAATGAGCACAAAGCACAGATCGGACACATTGGTAGGATTTCCCACATAGGTCCCTGTGCAGTTTCTACAATTTTCTGAATACTTGCATGAGGGGTTTTTTGGCAGGGTTTTCTTTTTCTCTTACCTATGTTAGAGACAATAGCGTATTTTTTGCTGAAGCTTTTAAGCTTCTAAGAGAGTTCTGAGATTTTTCAGTTGATTTTGAAAATAATATCCCTTATTCTGATTATGTATGTTCTGTAGTCTGGAAAAAAATCCATGGTATCCTAATGTCATCGTGAGGAATGTTACCTTAATCACTAATACAGTTTCAGGATAAAAAGTTGCTGTTAACTTTATGAAGAAAGCTTAATATAATTCTTCCTGTGATCGTACCAGTTTGAACCACCAAGCAGAAGCATTCCTAAAATTCTACAGTAGATGTGTATGCATTGAACTCACTTAAACATTTTTTTAAAGATGTCTATGGCCTTTTGGTGTGAACTACCAAATGAAGTACAATTTAAGGTTTGATTCTAATGTTGAGTTGTAAGCTGGGAGAAAGCACAACATAAGCACCAGTCACAGAGATTTCTACTAAAATTTTCCCTTTTTTTACCTCAGAGAGATGTGGGTCTAGTGTTTACTTTCATACTTTTAAAGCTCTAGTGTTGTTGAAATAGAACTGGATGTTCTTACCAATTATGTGTCATATTCTCTATATTTATGATTAATTCGACCTTTTTTTAGTTCTTTGCAAATATCTTAGTGGCTGAATACTATTTAACCACCACTTCTGAAAGTCTTGAAAACACATGGTTGTACATCCTTTTTCATTTCCCCTCAAAGGAGTCTTTCAAACCAAAAAGAAATACTTTACTTGTTTCTCTCCTTTTTTTTTTATTTTGTTATTAAATGTCATCTTTTTTTACTTGCATTTTTTTCCCTTTTCATAGCTCTGTAGGGATCTCGATTAAAATATTACCAGATAATTTTTTATAGTGTGAGTTTCTCCAAGCCAGCTGAATGTGATTCAGTTACCCACGCAGGCATCTGGTGTGGTCTGAGATATCCTAAGGTGTTCTTAGGTTAATAACCTGACTTGAAAAAACATTCCCCCACTTGTCTCCCTTTGTCTCCTGGTAGATAAGTTTTAGGGTTTCTAAGACCTACACATGGGGCTGGCAGATGTGGGTGAAACCTTACTGGAGATCAAAGACATTCTGGACCAGCAGCTGGATACTTGGAAGGACACCTGAGGGCATTTTGTATCACACCAGATGCTTATATGTGGGCAACAAATCAAGCCACACTGACTCCTTTTCTTTCCTTGCATTTTTTTTTTTCTTTTTGACTTGTGAATTGCAGTAGAATATGAGGCTTTTTGAGTGAATTTATTTCACATAAAAATACATCTAAGCTTTTCTTCTTATGCATAACAGCATGATACAGGCTGTTCTATCAGCTGAAGGAAGGCTAGCAGAATACATGCATTCTTCTGCTCTGGACCTTAGGCCTGGAAGCAGCAGAAATGAGTATTGCTGCCTTTCCTACAGAAAGAAAAAAGGAAGGCTTATAGGGGAAATTCCATCTGTCTCTAGCTGTGGAGACAAGGCTTTGTGAGGGGACTGTAATCATCTTGGCCAACTGCCACGATTGTGTATTTGCCTGTTTTTTTCCTTGCAGGAGAAAAGAAATGGTGAGACTTACAGTTAGGAATGGGATAAAATCAGGGAAGGAGTGTGATAGGGAGAGGTGGTTTGTTCATTTATAGAATCATTAGTAATTCCACAATAAGCATTTTTACTCCTTCTTTTTCCCCCCTGAAGCATTTAAAGCATTAACAGAGCTGACCTGCAACTAGCCCTAACAAACTTCCTTCACTGGTAGAAACACCCCATTTAGTAAGATCACAAAGGCATTAAAAAGCCTCTCCTAGAAAGCAGTTTGGGGTGTTTAGAACTCAGAGTTGTATTCCTCTCCCTGTTTGAAGACTAGAACCAACCTGACTTTCAGTTAGTCTGGATGCGAAGTCAGAACTTTTTTCCTTCTGCTTCCACATTCCCCCTTCAGCATGAATTCACCTTACAGATGCAATTATTAAGGAAAGTTAATCAATCCATTTTTATAATGTTTTGCCCCTTGGCTTTGTTTTCATTCCTGCAGCAATTTGAATAACTAGCAGGAACTTGGCCAAACCACCTGTATCTCTAGCATCGCTGCAAAATCAACAAAGACAGATTACGAACGTGCATTATAAACCACAAATTCCTGGGTACTTACCACTGCTTATACCAACAAACCTGGGTTGTTTTCCTTTGCTGCCACTGTTTACTGCTCTTCATTAAATGATTGAATTTATTCCCTGGAAATGTTCTTTGGGGCGCTTTGAAAGCTCAATGTGTTGCAGTGCTGAAGGAAAAAAAATGGGCAAACCAAAACTTGCATAGTATGCTTTTTACAACCAAAATTCACTGTTTCATTTACTGAACCAATGCAGATAAGATTATTTTGTCATATATGAAGACTTAGGTTATTTTTCCAGCATTTATATTAAAAGTTACTCATAAGGAGAGCACTTTGGTAATTAACCTAACTGACCTCTGCAATTAAATGTAGCTGAACGAGAAGTTAAAACAGAGGTTAAAATATTACTGTCATAGTTGTGAAAACTTTAGCATATTATCAAATTATAGTTTTTCATAAACATGCAGAAACCTTTTGTTCACTTGAGACTTTACCTAACCAGGAACGGCACATTTTTTTAACCTTTTTTTTTTTTTGACATGAAAGTACCAAAAGCAATTCTGAAGAGAGCACCTCAGCTTTCACATACAGGGTTATGTAGAGGGGTTCACTTTTAGCATGTGCACATGATGGTGTAAAAATTAAACCGTATCATTTAACAAAGTGATTCTAAATGTGATACTAAACATCATGAATCACTCTGTTCTCATATATGTGATTCTCCAGTTTGTTTTTTGTGCTCTATACTAAGTCAAATGCAAGTGCAATGCAGTTATTTGCATGAATTTTTATAGCTGTACAATGTACCTGAAGCCATTAAGGTTGCAGCAAACCAAAGAATCCAGGTTTTGTGAACTTTGTCATCATAATAACATGGGGAAAAAATCTAGATAGCAAATATAGCTGATTAAGGAGTTATGAAACCAAACCTGTCACAGTCTAATGAAAAATAGCAAAAATAATCCAGAAAATGAATGGTCATGCAGGTTTTAAAAATTTTTTTTCTTATTAATTAAAACTAAGTAAATAATTTGGGGGGGAAAAATGCCCCTTAAATTAAGGCACTCTTCTAGATCAAAAAGGTGATTTGAAAGGCAATATAAACCTCTTTTCTTGTGCCATGGGTTTGTGTATACACAGAGATGTTAATTTGGTAAGCATTTGGTTCACTTCCTCTGTCCTGCATTAGCGTCAGCTTAGATAAAAATAATAACTGTTGGTGGCCTTAGAAAGCTGTGAAACATAGAGGCCATAGCTGCAGTGAAGGAGAGTGCAGTGGCACTGTCAGATCCATAAATCAGAACTTACAGAGAAGAAAAATGGTTCAGCAGCTCTGTATGGGCTTGGGATGTGAGACCACCCAGTGGGACGAGATCCATCCCACTGTGCTGCTCCTTCCCTGTGTGACCTGCAGCAGCCTGGGCCAGCCTCAGAAGGGCACCTTCAGTCCTAAGGAGGAACTTAGATCAGCGGACCTGACTAAGCTCCACCATTAGGACCTTGCTTAACCTGAGGTCAACAGACCTCCAAAACTAGCTCAGACTTTTAGTCAAAATAGCCCTGAAGTGTTTTGCACGTGCCCAGCCCTGCTGCAGCAGATCAGCTCACGCACAGCATCCAGCCTGGGGTCTGGCAATGACGTGTACGCTTCCTCCTGCCCGAGAGGCTTAGTTTTAAGCACCTGGTCTCAGTGTGAAATTTTTCAATCCAGCACCCCACAGAATGCAGCAGGGGTTAGTTTTGTCTTTGAAAATGCTGTGTGCAGGAGCGGGAGCAGGATACAGCAGATGGCAAACGGCCTGGATACAATCCAGTGTCTGTTTAGTGAACCACTAAACAGACAGTTCATGTAAACTACAGGTGAGTTTGAGGTCTTGACCAGGACCTATTTAAAAGCTCCAGGACAGAACCACAAAGTTTTCAAGAATGTTTTAAATTGTGCCTTGGTTGTTGGGCCTTTTTAGTCCAGGGCCATTAATAGAATGCAGCAGTCTGAGGGGGGATGCATCCTCTGCAGATGTGTACAAGCCATGTAAGAATGAGGGTGTTTCTTGCTTGAGAGGGACATTAAAGAGATGCTGTCAATTTCAAGCTTTTGGGGAAAAAGCTACAA